TTTTATACAATGGTGATTTTGTGCGATGGTTGGATGGACGATAAAAGGGTCGCGTGCGCAGGGAATTGTTTCGAGAGTTCGTTGTCTGATTTAGATGCCTGTAATTCTCTATTGTATCTACTTGAATATATTCAACTTCGAGTCTTTAAATGTTTTTTAAGAGAAGAGTGCTTTTTTCAATGAGCTTACATAGTTGGCATCGGAACATGAAGCAGATTTTTAACTTTGTTTGAAAGGCGAAAACCTAACAGTAGATGGCATTTTCAATTCACGATGTCATTATTTATTTTCAAGTTATATATCCGAACTTTCTACTAATAAAAATCCTGAATCAACTATAGACAGAATTACTAGCGTGTAAATATATAAAGCGAAATAAATATTTTGATTTATAATCGAAGTGTCATTAAAGTTAATGTAAAAAGCCTCAAAAAGTCTTTATTTGTCATCATAATTTTTATTTCTCAGTTACGTATTCAAATCATCAATCTGTACAAGTACTCGTTCGAAGGTTATTAATTTTAACTTGCTCTTTCACAGCGCCATCGAGGATTACATTAATAAATAATCTAAATATTTACTCTTCAAATTCATTCAAACATACGCTTTCCATAAAATTAAAACAAAATTGTTATAAATTATGCAATTAACGTCTTACAAATTGACGACAAACCCTGGAATTCTCAAAGCACGTCGACGAATTTCTCTAAGTGCATCAAAGTGACTGCATTTCACGTTGTAAGTAAACAAAAAAGAATCTCGACGGTCGGCGCGAGGAAGGGCGGGGGGAGGGGAGGTAAACACGCATTGTGAAATGCTCGTTTAAATAGAATAGTTTCCAGGTCGCACGCATTCCAAGCCTCTCTTTCTCTTTTCCCGGAAGCTATCTTGCGCAGAGTTAAAATCGTCGACCTTAGGCGCCGACGCGCGTCCCGGCAAAAAGTCATTGCAATATGGAGCACCAGGTGAAATCCAGCTGGCTTATCTGACTGCGTATCAGCTTCCGACTCGACGCTCAAATCAAAAGATAATATTCTAATCAAAGCTCGCCGTCGGCGAACAAAAGAGAGGCGCCCGTCGAAAGCTCATCATCAAACATCTCGTAATTGAAAGTCCCGGAGCGCGTCGCCGCGTGACAAAGCTTCAGACGGCGGCGGCACGCCGGAAAAGGGGGGCGAGCGGCGGCTGGACGGGCGAAAGCTGCTTCGGTGCGTCGCCCCGGCACTCGCCAAAATCGATATAGACAAGCGGCTCGCTGCCGAATCACATTCCTTCGTTGCTAAAACGGGGACGTAGGGTCGAAGGGTAAATGTGTCCATCGCGATTATAGAATACATTGGGATTTTGACGAATTCGGTCCTCTAACAAAGAAAACAAGATGAAGGGGTCGATGTTTTCTTTATCTGAAAAAGAAAAGCATCTTGGTGCTTTATGACGAACTCGCGCGTCATAAATGCCATTCAAAGACGCGCGAGCATAAAGCCGTTAACAAAAGGCGGCGTTATCTTACGCGCGAGTCGAACGTTACTTTTCGAATGAGAAATACATAAAAAGCAAACTACGTAAAAAGCGCCCATAAAAGGACGAGAGTTTTCCGAGCATAATATCCCCGAACGGAAAAAAGGATACGCCGTTGCAACAACATCAATTCCGACGAAAATAGGGTGGACGGATGACGTACCGTTGTATTATCAGTCGACAGTTATAACCTTTCCCACTTGCGCGTATTCGCATTGTGATTCGCATCAACATTCGGACAACTACGGTGACGTTTTTGTTGAAAAATGTCCAGCTGATGTCAGCGCGAGGTTCGCGCGCAACGCGTCAATCGCCAACAAAGATGTCGCACAAAGCGGACGTACGTTTCAGTAGCCAGGGAGCAGAAAAAAGAGCAAACATTTTGTCCGTTGCTCCCCATGATGTTAAGGGACATCCCGCGTGCTTTTCTCTCTCTCTCTCTCTCTTGGGCGTGCGATGCGACGCCACGCTTGCGTACGTGACGTCAATGGTGACGGTGGAATGAGCATTTTTTGCACTTTCGAGATGCTTTTATTGCGCGACCTTTGAAAACGTTATGGCGTTTAGAGCGTTAATTGGAAACGTTTTGATTTTATTTAATGATTAGGTTGTAACTGAAATGTTAGGAAAGGTGCGTGTTTTCGTTTCCTCGTTGGAGTTTTTTTGAGCTAATGCGCAAGAAAATTATGTAATTTCTCAAAGCCGGTTACGGAGAATTTTCGAACTGGTTCGTTTGGCAACGCAACTTGACCTACGGCTACTTTTTCGTTCCAATTATAGTTTTGTTTCTTTCTTTCTAATTTATTATTCCGAATTATTTCATTGCGTTATTCAAATTATAATTAGAAATTGACTAAAATATGAGTTGATGAAATAAAATTTGATTGATTTGTTTTTCCTGCAAAATTGACTTCACACGAAGTTCATCTTGCACTGATATCGTCACCTGCATTTGGCACCTAGACTGTATCGACTAAACCCAACAACACGATTGTTAGTTTCAGCAGCCACGAAAGCTCCATCTATCCGGGAAAGCGTCCGATGTACGCGTGCTGATAGTACGAAGAACCGACAGTCCATGCAAAGAAAGAAAGAGATTGGAGAAGCCACGCGGGAGAGCTAATTGTCGAAGCGAGCGTTTTTCTCGATGCCCCCCCCCCCCCTTCCCCCGCGCCGCAATAGTTTAAGCAGCTGTTAATTGGAAAGCGGACGAAACGAAGCAGTGCCAGTAGTCCTAATTGGGTCAGAGAGGCATTTCAGAATGCCGCGGCGCCTTCTCGTTGTAATAGTCATGCGCTACTAGTCTCTCCGACTGCAGCCAACACGCGATTCTTCCATGTAGAAAGTCCCTCTTTAAACTCTTCTTTTCTTCCTTTTTTCTTTGTTTTTTTTTCTTTTGATTTCGAGAAATCGTCCGCGCAAACCCTTTTATAGCTAAGTGAAACTTGATTGAATTTTTTTTTCCTGTGCCTAGAAAGCGGAGGGAATTCAATTTTGTCAATTTGAGCGCGATTACACTTGCGAGAGACAAAAGTAGAATGATGATTCGATTGGATATCGATTGTACGTTGCACAGCCGAGGATGGCCATTTCACCTTGAACCGAGAGGAGCGTCAGAGCAGGGAAAAACATGTTTTCTTTCGTGCCCGGGCGATTCGTACGGTAGAACAGCCTTTTCATGGTCCACGGCAATGAGAAAATTTCATATATCGCGGCGAGAAAATTGCTCTAGTTTGCACTTCCGCCTGGGCAAATTATTCTAACTTCTGCACAATGTGCCTCTTGTGGAAGTTCTTGTGGTCGCGCAAATGCCAGCAATTGAAATCACTCAATCAGCAATCGGCGCATCAAATGTGCCGCGTGAAAGATCAGCAAACAGGGTCTCACGGCGAAAATCGACTTTTCCCACGGAGCCAGCGATCAAATTATACGATCGCATGCCCTTTTCGCCGGGCTTCGTACGTCGTCGGAGGCCATTCAACGGAAAGCGCTCGCTCGATGAAAAGACGTCGTGAGTGTCTTATGTCTTTCACGAATATGAGCGCGCGGCAAAGAGAAAAGTGGAGCCTTGGGGGTCGCTCGAGCTTTTCATTGGGAAATCTGATGACACGAGCGCGCGACGAGGTGCGCGCCGTTTTTTTTTCCTCTCCCTCGTTCTCCGAGGCTTGTTTGAACAGCGTTTGATACGAGCAGTTACGAGTGATTACACGATGACACTTTGGTTTCGGCACGTGACTTTGACGATTACGCACGGATGATTATGTTTTTAGGATAGTCGTCTGTGTCGTTTGCACAATGTCAATTCTACGTTGAATCAAGAGCGGAGTATCTATTAAAGATCAAAGATGTCGAAACGCCAAGCTACAATTGTCCAACTTGAAGCGAACGAATCAATGTTCGTCGTCGAATGCGGTGTTGAGAAAACCTCATTACGCCATCTATTTAGACGTGCGTCACTGCAAGCGATTGTCAATAATTAACACTAATCAAACGAGCATCAAATGACGATCGAGATTTTATACGTTTGATGTTGTTACGTTCTCTCTTCGTTAACTGGACATCTCTGGTTAAAATTCCACAAACTGAAAAGCACGAGAGAGGCGAGCGATGCATCTACTTTGATCCGTTTCTACGAACGCACTCTGTCTTCACTCCAGCACACGGACACATGTTACGCGTGAAAATTAATTGATCAGGCGAATCTGAATGCGCTCCTCTGTGTCGCGATGAAAATACCGTCACTGAAAAGCTCTCGTTGACGAAATGAAAAAACGGCTCTCGGAACAAATTAAAAGTTACCCGTTTGCTCCCACAGCAACCTCGCGGCGATCCGCAACGACGACATTGCATCGCGCGCATAAATGCAGAGGCAGCGTGTCGCATTTCTACGACGAGACTTATATCTTCCACGCACGCGCTTATCCTACAATATTTAGCAAAAAGTGCGCGTAACGAGAAAACAAGTAGAAAGCGCGTGTATATCGTTTTTTTTTTCTTCTGGCGTATCTTCGCCTTCACGCTCGTTTCAGTTCTAAAATAGTGACGCAAAGTAGAGCGCGCAGAGCTGTTTCATGAATTTGCCGCTGGCGAGAACAAAGACTTCATTTTTTTGTTGTCCTGTTTCTTTAGCTCGTGAGATTTATTTGGCAGACGGATAACGATGCGCTCGTTAGTAGGTTTTGCGTTCAGCCACGGGTTCGCGCCCGGTACGACAAAGGAACGGGCAGCCTCGGTATCCAGGGTGATCATCGCGGAATAAGACGACAGGTCAAACAGACGAATTTCGCCATCGCGCCGCTCATTCGAAATTAATCCGATTGTAAGTGTAAGCAATGCAGCCCCATCGACATCCGAGATATTCTTCAGCACACAAAGCCTCTGCATTTGCAAACAATGCACGGGCAGTCCATGATTCATACTTCGCGGCACATCGATATCGATAAGCGACAATTAATAATCTCGCGTTTTGTTTCCGTTCGCAGGTTGCCAAACTCGCTGCCGCAGTCGTGCGACAACAAGGAATGGTAAGTACGTACAAACAGCGCTCGCGCGCGAAGAATCAATTGGCGAACAGTCGTAAATTAAGGAAAACAAGAGAGAAAGAAACAACCTGCGCGAGAGAGGATGCAATAGACGGGAAGTTATCGAGCTGGTATATACCCGTGGTAAATTAACGGCGTCGCGCCTCGTAAATCGCTTGGCAATTAGCGCGGGTAGACGGCCGATAAACAGCTGACTTTGCGTATAGTAGCACGTGGATACACATAGCTCGAATACACGTGTCGAGGAGAGTTCCTTTTTCTTCTTTCTCGGTAGCGAGGGATGATAGATTTTCTTTTGTTATTGCGGCGCTGAGTGGTTTATCGGATTCTCGGATTTTCGTGGTTAAAGATGAAAAAAAGAGACGTGCTGGGTTATCGATTTCCGAGGCGAACGATAGTTTCCATTTTACGTTTTTTCTGTAATGCTTCGATAAGTAAAATAGATGTTTCGTTACATTTTTTTCGACAAAATAAGTCTTCCATCGTACCTCTTGGCCTACTAATATGATATTTTAATCTACCTGAATAAAAAAAAACAGTTTTATAACATTTGAATTTTTCTTTTATTTATCATTGTACAAAGTATTCATAAGAATTTTCAATTTAGAGTTTTCATGCTTTTTAAGAATTTCTATATATCGCGTATACTTGATAACGAACAATTTTTTTCTTAATGTCTTTAGGTCTATTTAACCAACTGATCAAGCTGATTTTACCTTAACTTTTGTTGCTTTTTGAGTTATATTTTCGTAATTAAGCGCGTGTCAAGATGTATTGTGAAAAAAAAACATTGGTCGCGCTCTTGAAAATGTTGCAAGGCGAGAATTTAGCGGCATGTCAGTTTGAAACAAAAGTTGAGCATTCAAGAAAGAAAGAAGCAGACAATGTCCAAGAGCTTTAACCACGTATTAAGCGGCTATATGCGAGCAAGCTGTAGGCATCTCCAATTTAACAAAGGAAGTCGCTCTTTATCCGAGCATTATGCCAAGGTCGTGCGCTTTTTGCGAATTCGCGACGTGCCGCCCACGCGCTGGACGCCGACTCGGAAACGTGATGGCGCGCCTTCAGCTCTTATCGCGTCTCACGAGTCATCACTGGGCCAAAAGAGCGTCGTACTCGCATCTCATTGATATTCGCATCGTGCGTCGTGTCCCTCTTTTTCCTTTCTTTTTTTCTTTCGCTATGAGGATTGAACTGGGACCGAGGACGGCTAGTAACGGCTTCTTACTTTGTCGCTCGGCAATTCGATTCGCGCGCGCCTCCTGATCGCGAAACACGGCCGAACTTTGACAATAGGACGTTTCGGTAATGAGGTCGGCGAGCATCGCCGGCGCGAGCGCTGCTGAAAGGCGCGCCGGTGCAGTAGTAAACGTCGAGCGCGCGTCCGGCCGACGTCGTGAAATAAAAGCCGCCGCGCGTGTAACGCCGCGCGCGTTCGGATAATTTGTGCGATGTTAATTATAAAAATAGGCGAGATCTATTTGCGTGAAGCCGGCCAAACCGGTCGTTGAAGCGTCGCCAGGAAAAAGTACTATAAATGTATTTTTAAACTGTTATAGATCTCGCCGGAGGAAATAACCGCGCGCTATACAAAGCCGCGGCTTTGCGTCGATTATTTTGCTCGCGCCCAACGACTCCAACGTGCCGACTTCCTCGCCAGGACTTCTCACGCGAGTTTTCTCTTCCCTCGCAGAGAAAGAGAGAGTGAGCAGTTCTGACACGTGTCCGTCCGTACGCGTAAGGCGCTCGGCTCCTGTAACTCACGCAATTTTTCTCCGCCCGTAATTGCCTGTAAGACAACAATTTCCAATTAACGCTCGCCGGTATCCCCGCGCTAAGATCTATGTATGCGCGCGCGCGTGGATCGCTGCTACGCGCAATACTTTTTCCCGTCGCGCTGTCGGTGTCGCGATCTCGACACTTTTCGCAGCCGCGCGCTCGAATGCGATGCGCTTTCGGTGCTGATTCAACGAGCACCAGGAATACGGATTTTCACGCCGCGTTTTACGATCGAGGAAGAGAAACATGCCGAGTTGTTACGTGATAACCTCGTTTGGTCTGATGAAAATGAATATGGATCGGTTTTCAATTGACTTTTGCGAAATCGCAGTGGGATTGTAGCGATCGATTAATGTTCTGTTTGCCGCGACCTGCCCTGTGTACTTACTACTGAAACTCTTACTATTAAAAACATCGTCTACGTATTTTTCATCAGTCATAGTAGATAAAAGATAATATCGACAGTAATAATTGCTTGTTTAACTCTCGCATCTTCCAACTTTTTATCGTTTATAAAGAATACCGATACGTTATTTTTCTTACACAACCAGACTTTCTCGGAAATCACATTTTATCGAATCATATTTCACTCGCTAATCAATCATCTACACTTTCGATCAAACTTTGATCATCGTATCATATGTGAAAAAATCTCTTTACACCGTTGATTCTTTAATCTTCAGAAAGCTCAGATCCAATTCCTTGATGTTTGCTTGGAACGACGATAATTGATGCGACAATGCAATCTCGCAAAATGATGTTCTCTGCGCGCCCATCCTTTCACCTCTGGCAAGTTATATCAATTCACTGCTCGGGTTTTTCGAGATCGTAAGGTGGGTCAGCGCAGCCGCTGCCCCTAATTGCCTTGCATCTTTTTTGGCAAGACAATGCACAAACACATGTAGATTTTGACCAGAGCGCTGGGCATTTAATTGGCGCTTTACGCGAAGGCGATCGTTAGTGTAGTTTGGCGGATCGGTCCGCAAAAACCTAATTTAATCATTACGTTTCACCGAAAAGTTCGTTCCGCAACGGCGGACAGCAATAAACACTCGAGCGACTCCACTTTCGGAGTGTAAAAAGTGTGAAATTCCAGATACGACGCCAGCACCGGCGACGGAGAAAGAAAAGAAACAGGCTAGAGAGCTAGCTGGAAGAATAATATTTTCTCCTCGTTATTTTTCGTACGGCGGTCCAACGTGCGATAATGGCTGGGATATTCCTCGAAGCGCATCGCCGCGGACGCAAATGGCAAGGCGGCGAAAGCGAAGTCGCGGACGAGTCTTTCGGCTCGTCCTTTCTCTGGCGCGACGATCGGCCTGCCGCGGGGAGCAAGCGCAACGGGAGTCGCGAGCTTTCGAGAGCGCGATCGCGCCTTCGAGAGAGGGAATCGGGGGCTGCCGCTACTCCAGAATCGTTCCGCGGCCCCCGAGCGGGCACCTCGGGCGCGCGATAGCGCGGCGATTACGGACGCGTGCCTTCGGCTCTCGCACGCGTGCTCAGCTTCGCGCGTTCTAGTTGCAGCCTCTGCCCACTTGGCCGGCCTATTTATAGCTTTCAACGGTGCACCGAGACAGTCGCTCGAAAGGGAGCAGCGCGCACGCATGCGAAAGGAGCGACAGAAGCGTAGTCGCCGTCCCGGCAGCCGTGACAGTTTTTTTGCCGCGAGTGCCGACGCGGCCCGTTCCGGAAAAGGTGCGCGAGGCATCGACGACGCGTGTGAAACGTGCCACTGGTGAGCAGCAACCAATCGCACCGCCTGGACCGACCGACGACTCGCGAGCGCGCGTCCGGAAAATCGGCGACCGGTCGATCGACATCTCCGACGTGCGTGCGTCGTAGCGTCGAGCGCGAACCGCAGCGGGCAATATAATTAGTAAGTGTGTCAGCAATGCTGCGCGAGCTGGCCCGCGTTGGCCGAATAATCGCGAAGCCCGACAATTCATCACCGTACGAATACGCGCGCGCGCGCGAGCGAGCGATCATCTCGACGAGTCACGATCGCCAATCGAAGGTTGACGTGCTCCTATTCCGATTGCTCTGTGGATGCGATGCGCAGCCGTCGTATCGCATGTCCAATCGACATCAAGCCGAACCTCGTCGAACGTGAACGAACTAAGGGAAATTCGCGACATTCGTAACTCGGTCGATCGCGCGCGAACAGAGCAGCCTCCCCACCCTCCTCTCTCTTCCCCCTCGTCCAACACTCGAGTAGGTATCGCGGACAGAGGTGCCGATAGCGGCGACAACAACGACACGTGCAATGCACCGCCTCGTGGGAGCGCACGAATCGGTCGCGTGTATACGCGCGCACGCGATAATTGGCCGGAACGAAACGCCGCATTGTGTGCGGAAGTTGTCGCTTTTCGAGATCATATACGCGGAAAGTCCGTATGCGCGCGGTGGCTCCTTTGTGCGCCCGTCGTGCGCAGAAAAAGAACGACAGAGAAAAACAGGTTCGGTCGCCGCGGCGTGACGCAACCGAGGAAGCGAAATTGCACGATGCGTAAGTTTTGCCGTTGTGTGTTCGGGTTCGCGGATCGAACAACGACACCGACGTGGGCTCGAAGCCAACAATTTCGCTCGTGAGCGCCGATTGGTATCTTTGCACGCGCTCTCTCCCTCCGCGATGCGGCGCTCGCTTTGTTTTCTGTTTTTGCACACCGAGGAAGAAGATGAAATTGACTTGCGAGAGAGGCAAATAAAACGTTAAACGCTTCGCTGCTCGCCTGCCAGAAAGATTTCACGTTCGCGAGCTTACAAGTTTTGTCGGCGGCTGTCTGTCGATCCGCACATTTCGTCTCAAAGTGAATTTCTCGTTTGATAAGGATCAACGACTCGCTCTCGGTTAATTTTATTCCAATGTATTACTCTGTTGTTAAATGAGCTCTTCGTATTCAATACATATATTACCCGTAAGATTTTTCTCATTTATCGTTAGTTATTACATATTACCGCTAACATTCAACGAACCTCCAACAAATCTTAACGACCTAATTTTTATCGATCAACATCGACGAAGTCCTCGAGTTTTCGATCTCGGAGTTGTACATAACCCGCAGCCAGTTGAACGCAATCCGACCGAAAATCTTCATCGAATCCACTCCATCAAGAGCAAACAGCTACGCGAGCCCGCAAGCTTACTACCGACAAAAAAAGAAGGGTATACGGACGGACGAGTGCTTTCAGAGGCCAAAGGCCTCCGACGTCGCCGTCTCGCTTCTTTTTCAGACCCGTTAACAAAGTACACCGTCGCGCAGTTTGCAGACTTGAAATATCTTCTTTTTTTGTTTTTTTTTTCTTCACGCTCACTTTTTTCGGCACGTTTTCGTCGTTACCCATAATCAACGGAGCAACGAGAAATTCTTCAATTTGTTGCGTTACTAAAGAAGATTAAAGTCAGCAATTTTTGGTTTCGATTGCGAAATAATCTTCATTTTCTTTCTAAAATGCAACTAATTCGAGACATTTTGTTTCTTTGTAAATTAGAGTCGATTGGCGTATGCACTGATCGCGCACGTGTAATTATGAAAATCAATCGTCCTGAAACATAAATTGCGTGATCAGCGTGGCAAGTCGTAAGAGTTCGAGGACCCGTTGTATTTACTCGAGCGAGGAAAACGTGTCGCAATGTGGCCCCTTTCAAAAAGGCGCGATAAAGGTGTCCTCTGAATTACCAACTCGCGGAAAGACATGTGTTCCTTTTGTCTCGGCCCCTTCGAAAAATAAAGTAAGAATACATATGTAGACTCCGTCGTGCCGTTTTCCTAAGTACACTTGTCGAACGAAGGCGATGTTTTCACAATTGGGAAAATGGAGTTCTCACTTTCACGTCGGAAGCACGACGATGCTTATTGGTAATCAGCTCGTTGGTTTCGAGTGTATTGGATATTCAGCGCGCGATCGGTTTTCCCGTTTCTGTTTTCGACAGTAGTCTGGCGTGTGCCGAGGGTTCCCGAAAATTGGCCTGGATTTTCACTCAGCGTCGTGCACAGCTTTATTTCACGCAGTATTATTGCTCGTTCAGTAATGACCATTCACAGTGCCTTGAACCATCGAGCAATCGATAGGCGAAAATCACGGAGAGACCGTCCTTCCACGTTCCAATTCACAGATTACGAGTTATCGCCCTCGGGGTGAGCGGTAATATCTTCTAATCTCTGCGTGGCGGCGAGTGCTTATTAATCGATTGTAAAAAAAGAAAGAAAAAGAGAAGAAACGGCGTCTATTTTGGAGCGCATGTGGGCCAGCGGGTCGCGCGTCGGCATCGAGCCAGACGACGACGTAATTATGAGGGACGCTAAGCGAGCTGCTTCTTCCGTGTTTTGTCGCAATTGAGCTCGCGGATATTCTGGAGTCAGCCAGCGATTCTTGCGCTCGATGGTTGGCGTGAGGTTTATTCGAACCGAATGATATGCAACGCGAGACCAAACTTGTACTCGTACCGAAAGACGGTCTCGATTCGATGGCTAAGAAAATGATCGGCTCGCAACGGTCCGGTCGAATTGTCACAGCGCTCATTTTCCCGATAAAGACTTCCCCGTTTAACGAGCGAATCGTGCTTTTCTGAGCGAGAGAGAAACCCGTTAAAGTTTCGCTCGTGCATCGGAAACACGTCTTTGAGTTATGAAATTCCGCTATGTGCGTCAAAACGTTTCCTCCGGTACACGTCTGATCAATCGATATATTTTAGTCTTATCCAGCAATAATAATACAGCCCCTAAATAATGCGTCGATCCACGCGATAACGCTGCCAATGAAAAACATTCGCTCCGTCGCACTAACATCGCAAGCTACTAAAAATAAATTTTCCAATTCCACGCTCTTTCTAGCTAACATTCGTCAATAAAACCTCCATCTGTGTCAATTCCAGGTAATGACACAAACTGAAGCAACGTCGGACTCGGCAGCAATCACGTCGTCGTATCGCGTGTAGCAGACAAACAAAGAATCTCTCAAACTACGCCAGACAGCGAAAGCCGAAATGGATCACCATCAGCAGAGCAGAAAACAAATGGCTTCGCCGGAGGTGGCATTGGCAAGCGAGGTGTTCGATCAGTTTTGCAATGCCACCACCCTCAAGTCGATCCTCGGACACTTTCGACACCTCTGCGATCTGCTCAAGATCAAGCCGACCAATTTCAACCAGTTCTATCCGAAATTGAAATCGAAATTGCGCTCGTGGAAGGCGCAAGCCTTATGGAAGAAATTCGACCAGAGAGCCAATCACAAGTGTTACAATCGTGGAAAAGCCTGTCTAAATACGAGGGTAAGCCGCGCGATCTTCGGCCAAATTTCGAGGATTTCATTGACACTGAACGTCACGCTGAAACAGGTGCTGATAATAGGCGGTGGCCCATGCGGAATGCGTTCGGCGATCGAGGCTCAATTGCTAGGTGCCAAGGTCGTAGTGGTGGAAAAACGCGACCGCATGTCGCGCAACAACGTGCTCCATCTCTGGCCGTTCGTCATCCAAGATCTACGCGCGTTGGGCGCGAAAAAGTTCTTCGGCAAATTCTGCGCCGGCTCCATCGATCACATCAGCATCAGACAGCTCCAGTGCATATTGCTGAAGGTCGCTCTCATACTGGGAGTCGAGTTTCACGAGAACGTCAGTTTCGAAGCGCTTGTGCCGCCGCCCGATAATCAGAATGACGGAAGTGAGTCGAACGTTAGATTTACAATTATTTTCAGGGAAATGTTGAGTTAAATGTTTTTTCTATTTTCGTAGAAATTGGCTGGCGTGCAAAAACCGAGCCGGCCGAGCATCCAGTCTCTCAATACGAATTCGACGTGTTGATCGGTGCAGATGGCAAACGTAATACGCTCGACGGTTTCAAACGTAAAGAATTCCGTGGTAAGCTTGCCATCGCCATAACTGCCAACTTCATCAACAAGAAAACCGAAGCGGAAGCACGAGTCGAAGAGATCAGTGGCGTCGCGTTCATCTTCAATCAAAAATTCTTCAAAGAGTTGTACTCCGAGACTGGCATCGATCTCGAAAACATCGTCTATTACAAAGACGAGACGCACTATTTTGTGATGACTGCGAAGAAGCACAGCCTCATCGACAAAGGGGTCATTCTCCAGGATCACGCGGATACGGCAAAACTGTTGGCCAAGGAGAATGTCGATCGCGAAGCACTGATGATGTATGCGCGCGAAGCTGCTGAATTTTCTACGGAATATCAGATGATGGATATGGAGTTTGCTGTTAATCATTATGGACAGTCGGATGTTGCTATGTTTGATTTTACGTCTATGTACGCAGCCGAGAACGCTAGTAGAGTTCTAGAGAGACGTGGACATCGACTGCTGCAGATACTCGTCGGTGATAGTTTACTCGAGGTAATAATTTTAACGTTATTGTTCATAATTTATTTTGAAAAATTGTGTATTTATAATCTTTAATAGTTAATATGGATTTTTGAGCTAATTTATATTTTAAATTTGGATCGGTGTTTTTGTGGTCGGATGGCATTCTTAAGATTTCTAAGAAAACATTTGCATTTTACGATGAATGTGGAAATATAATTTGGTTCTTTTAGAAAAGCAATGGATTTAAGCACAAAGTTCTTTTAACAAAATAGTGGACACATTATGACAAGATGGTCATTAATAAGAATTCCACGATAAAATATTAAAATTATACATTTAAAAACTTGTAAAAATTAAGTTTATCGTCTATTCATTTTTATTTATTTCGCAACTCTAAATCCAATCATTTAAAATACCCACAAAGAATCGGTAATGACAAACTTGTTGTTTTACCCATAGCCATTCTGGCCAACGGGCTCAGGTTGCGCTCGAGGTTTCCTCAGTTCCCTGGATGCTTGTTGGGCAATCAAGGGTTGGGGCGGCTTGCACACACCCCTCGAAGTCATCGCCGAAAGAGAATCCATTTACAGGCTTCTTGGCCAAACTACTCCGGAAAACCTCAACAGAGACTATGCCGCTTATACTCTGGACCCTCACACAAGGTGAAGTTTACTTGATTTAATAGAACACTTACTAATGCTTCTGAAATTCGAAATAGCCGTACGTTGCGTACACGCAACTTTAATTGTATTACGTGCGTGCAGGTATCCGAATTTGAACGTACGCTCCGTGACTACAATACAAGTACGAAGTCAACTAGACACCGATGATCCGGAAACATTCAAGTTGTTGCCGGTTCAAGCCACTATCGATTTGCCCAAAAAGCGAAGGAGGAAAGGTAATTTATAACCATTGGCAATGACATCAAAATTTTTATATCGGCTCTTTCGTTCTACAATATCATAATTGTTTGATAATTTTTATTCTGTGAATTTGAGTTTTATCAGATCTAATCGTTATTTATTTATAATTATAAATATAACTAGTCGGCGATTAAAAATGTATAAATATTCAGAACATTTTTGGCAAAATTATGTGACAGAAGCACGAAACATATTTATTTTGTAGATTCACAGGTTCACCCGGACACATTGCTGCACTGGTTGCAACGCCAGGTGGCCTTATATGATGGTGTGCGTATCCATGATATGGGTGAATCTTTCAAAAGTGGTTTGGCAATCTCCGCGATTATTCATCGCTACCGGCCAGATCTCATCGATTACCATGCTCTCAAAAAAGATGATCACGTTGTCAATAATCAGCTTGCGTTTGATATCCTCGAGAAGGAGCTCGGTATTCCCCCTGTGAGTATTTCATTTTTGTTGTAATTGACAATTTTGATAGAAAATGCATTTTTTTCAATGTAATTCGTTTATAGATTATGACAGGAGAAGAAATGGTGCAATGCGATGTGCCAGATAAGCTGACAATGTTCTCGTATCTAACGCAGATTTACGAGGCGTTTCGTGGAGAAATACCACATATTAAACACCCGAAGCTGGTATGTTTTTTCATTGCTTCTTTCATTAAACAAATTCAACAATTTTTCAAATAAATTAATTTCGTAAAAAATCACAGGAACCAGAAACTGAGGATAGGCCTACGTTTTCACAAAAGCTAAACGTACTAACACCCGAACAAAAAGCTCAATTTTTAAGTCGCATAGCAAGCAAGGAAGGGTCAGTAGCTACGGCAAGGGCACGAAGATCGCGACATGTCAATGAGAATTTACCACAGACTGGGGATAAGAAATCCGACTCGATGGCGCGTCGTCACGCGCGCAAACGACGCAGCAACGAGAAAATGGGTGCTAGCGTGGTAAGTCGACTCACGTTTATCATTTCTTCTTTTTAACCTATAAGTCCGTCGGGGATGGACTGTATTGTACGTGTACTATGTACAAGCGAAAATATTTCTCTCGCAATTCATTTTTATTTACATCTCCTCTATCCAGAAAAATAGCACATCGGAGCATAGAAAAAATTTTCATGCTTTCAATATTTTCAAAGCTCATAAACTGCTATTTTTTTCATCTTTGTTACAAAATATCGTATCACATTAATAAATACAGTTCATCCCCCACCAAATCGACAATGTCGAAGTCGATGGATAGATAAGAAAAGACATGGCCAGAAAAGCGATAAAAATTTATTATTGATTCTTCTTAGTCGATGTGGCAGTCGTGTGTATCTCTGATTTTTCGAGGATTATTGATATTGACATTCGTCACGTCTGTTGGAGCGCTACCTGTCACGTGTAATTGAAAAAAAGCTGAAGAGAAAAGAATTTTTAATTTGCTATTATACTCTCAGTTAAGCCATTCACTTGGAATCATTTGATTGTTTAATAAAATATTTCAATTACAAAAAAGAACAAAATATATCGTGGTATTATAATATACATCGTTCGCATATAATGTACGTTCTGTCTGTCCCTGTGTGTAATATTTTGTATCGTATTTGTGGAGTCTTGAGTTACATAAACGTATAAAAAAAAGATTGGACAGCTTCTACTTATACCGTCATCTTTAGAGTAGTGTAATCTCGAAATTCGAAATCTGTTACTATCCTGAAGATGTCGATGACTTATAATTATCAATAATAGTAAGCATGTAACACAGTAAAATTTCTTGTTCGACGTCATATGCATGCCTTTCTGTCGTGTTGAGTTTTGAATAACAATTTGTAATAGTCCTGTGCCTAAATTTTAATCATATATTAGAAAAATAAACATTCGTAATGTGCATAAAAAGGGATTTATTGCACAAAAGATTTTACTGTGTTACCACAAAAACGAAGCTCCGCACACGAAACAATCGAATAATGTCAAAACCGAACCCTCGAAAAACAATGAAAAAACAACACAAAAGGAGGAGCGTATGCAACGTCTACAGGACATCGAGAAAAATCGTCTGGAACGAATGTTACGCCGTCAATATCAGCGTAAAATGGCAACCCAACAATTCTACAAAAGTATGCAGATGTTACAAGCCAACGCTAAACGTGAGAAGGATGAACCCTTCGAAGATTACTCGATCTTTCTCTATCGTCAGACTGCACCTGATTTCAAGGATCGAGTAAAGGATCTCGAACAGAAGATACTATTTCCCGTAAGCCCCGCGTGTGTGGCAAATGATATTCATAACAAAACGAGTTTGACGTTTTTTCTGCGATACATAACTTTGTATATGTCTCTTAACTGCGCTCGAGCATCTAAAATCGTGAATACTTCAATACCTTTACGATTACTGCTATCTAACAAAAATGAACTCTCAGCTTTGCTCAAATTTTCAATGTTGTATTTTGTTATTTTGTCACTTGGTGAAATGTGGAATATAACGTTTGGTTTTGAATGTTCGCAGGATCGTGAGCCAAAGATGCACGCTGGTCATAATCGAGGAAGTATCGATGAAGGCTTCTCCGGTAGGATAAAGAATATCGAGGAGAAACTCAAAGGAACTACGTCGACCGACAAGAAACCCAAAGATTTACTGCGTGCGATCGGTACGTAACGATTGTTAATTATTCGAAAGTTGATGAACTATGATGAACATTTTTTTTGCAGGTAAAATCGAGAAAACCGATTGGAATGTTAAAGAAATCGAAAAGAAAATCGAAGAGAACAAGATGGGCCGTGGAGTACGACATGACAAAGTTGAACGAGTGCCAAAGTGGAGTCGCGAGCAGGTTGGCTATATAAGATTAACTTCTTGCTTTTAGAGAAAGAAAGTTGGAAAAATGTATAATTTATAAGAATATTTTAAGTTTTTTTCTATCACCTAGCTTCAAATGTATAGTTCACGTGTGTACAAAAGTTTTTTATTTTCAACGAATGCATTATGCGTTAACATAAAAATTATCTTTACCTGCATGAAATAATTTATATAAACAAATGGTATGTTACTTTATCTATCACGTATAAAAACACCGAGCTCGTATAATCCTCTGTCGCACACTTAAAATATGCTAAATTCAGTTTTTAGCTCGTCAGACGAAAATGGAAAAGATGAAGGGTCACGAACCAATGGAAACGGACAGTAAATACTCTGAGATCGATAATACATTGAAGAACATCGATCGTAAAATCAAAGAAGGCAACATACTTGGTCAAAATAAAGTGTCAGCGATGGCTGAGCAATTTGCCAATAAGAATCAAGATGTTCAAGCTGCCACCGCTGGTCAAGCAGAGCAGCCGAAAGTTCAGAGATCGGTAATTATCTATTGGCAATTGCATCGGGACAAGAATCGTATCACCGCTTCGCCGTATTGCGTTTGCTATACCTCACAATTTTGAGGCATTCTTATTTTTTTCTGGTTTATTTAATATAATCATGCGATTTTTCCGATCATACAAACTTTTATATTACAATGCATTCTGTCGTTGTAAACTGTTAGGGACGTTATTGCATTGATAAGCTTTCTCACTTTTACTTGTAGTTGTTCATACGTATTTGCAATATCATCAATATCATTTTTCATTTAGTAAACGAAATGTATTTAAATATAGTTGATTGATTTGGATACAAATGGCGTAACTAAAATTTCTAAATTATTTTAAACATCAACTAAACATACGTGATTCAAATTTCACCTCAGATCAATACACGTAGTTAAAGAAAGTCCGTAGAATTTTTTCAGTGTATCCATGATTTATCAAATATAAATAAAATAATTTTTGAAAATGCGAACAAAGTTTTTGTACGGTGCAATGATCGTTATAACTTTGAGCCTATTATCAATTGTGTATAGTCTAAAGAAAGTATAGAGCATGGCTGCTGTAATGAATATGAAGATTTGCTATTTATAGAATATTCAAAGACAATAATGCCTTTGATCTTATTTTCTAAATAACCGATGTCGATCGATGGTGGACAACATAATCTTTATTTATAAATTTTCAATGATCATGGTAATACTCATCAACTCATTTATTTCATATTCGCCCTAATATAAATGTTCATAATCATTGTTTTCGTTTATTTTGAATATCACGCAAATAACTGTGTAATAAAACAATTAACTTGGATTTTGTTTTCATACATTATCGTTGTATTAGTTAACTCTTTCAAACCAATAAATCTAACTAAACTATAGATTAACTCTCATTCATCTTAAATAATCATTTCGTGTGTTACTTAAAAGTTCATTGAATGCATACTTATTCCACAATCATTTTAATAAGACTTTGTACAATATAACAAAAGTCTAAAAGCATTGAACAGCATGCCATGCTCTAATACATTTTTACATCCTTCTACATTCCTGCACTTGTAATGTTTTTTTACCACTCGGAGTATTAAAATTTGAAATAAAAATTAATCAGCATCACGAATTTACAGAATTCAAAAGCGACAATTGCGCTGCCAGCTCAAGGCGGCTCGGAGATGTGCCATTTCTGCGACAAACGTGTCTACCTGATGGAACGCCTCACTGCCGAAGGCAAATCTTTCCACAGGGGATGCTTCCGTTGTGAATATTGCTCAACCTCGCTTAGAATAGGTAAGTTGATTCTCAAATTATATTGAAAATGAAATGTAAGTTTGTTTGTCTGTATTTTAGGAAATCACACGTTCGATAGGGATAAGAATGGAGGACGTTTCTATTGCACCCAACACTTTGGACTGCCGGGTACAATGAAAACTAGATCCGATAGAAAGAAACTGCCTCTCACTAATAAAGAGAATATACCTCAATCGTCAAATACTCTCAAAACTCCAGATAAGGTGAATGACTAACTGTTTGAGCATAAAAATCACGATTATACTTAATTCTAATTATTTATTACAGACTAAATCGGCACTGGAAGGAATTTCGGGACTCGATTTACTCGATCGCGGTCAGACACCCGAGAGAATAGAATTTGAAAATCTTGCAGGAATGTCGGATGCCGAGGAAGCACAAAGTATCATGGATGAGGACGAGTGGACCGATCGTAATTTCGGACCCTCTGCCGCTGAAATGGGTTCTAGTGATGACATTTCTGACATGAGGTATGTTACAGCATTCAGGAAGACAAACAAACAAATAAATTTACATACGTATTGATGGCAATTTTTTTTAATACAATATTTTTATTTCAGTGATTCAGATGACGATAATGAAGTATTTGAAGAGGCGATCGATCAACCTCTGACGACCGAAGGAACGCTAGAACTTGCTAAAAATTGGACTTTGCGATATTCGCATCCACACCCAGCGGCTGGTAATTCTGACACAGGAAGCAACGAGTACGAGGACTCCAGTGACGAATATACAACTTCAGGTAATTAACATTTTTTATATCTTATTATTAAATTTGACGCAGAAAACAGTCTAAAACCTCAATCTCATGAAATTGCAGAAGAGGACAGTCAAACAGCAACCGAGGATGAGGATGAGGCACGAGCACGAGAGGCACGCAAGAAGGAAGTATGGCTGAAGGTGCCACCGCTGATTAGCGACACGGAGACAGGCAGCGAGACCGAGGTGAAGCATCAAGCCCAACTTACGCAAGCGTCTGATAACGTTGTCGAACAGCAGCCGGAGAGCGGTAACCTCTTACCCGACGCGATACCTCTTCGAACAAATTCTTCTCTCCCTGATTTAGTCGCGTCGTCCGACCTCTCGTTTGAAGATGCTTCCCCATTGACATTAAAAATTGAAAATCTCGATAGTACGTGGCTCGAAGTGGAAACGGTTTTGAATAAATCTCAATCGAAAGACACTGGACCGATATTAGTCGTGACCGCGCCAACCCCAACGACTGAAAGACTTCCCGAGTGTCCGTTTATCGAGGAAAGTAAATTAATCGTGCCGAAAGAACAGTCGCCCGCGCCGCAGGAGGAGGCTAATGAAGCGCCGACGTCCTTTGATAATTTACTATTGGAGTTGAGGCAGAGGAAGGCGAAAAATAAGGCTGACGCTGAGGCTAAAGAAGCATTGAAGCCTTTGGCCACTGAAACGGCTAAGATGCAGATGAATAAGTATTTCGATGCTAAAAAGAAGACGCATAAACGGCAAGAAAATGAAAATGTTAAAGTTGTCGAGTTGCCGATGAAGTCGAAACTTTCTGATAAAGTTGAGAAGATAGATATGCTTAAGTATTTCTCTGGTGTTAGTTTCGAGGCTAAATCAGCCCCACTTCCTACTTCAGAACGAAGTCCATCACCGATTGCTGCGAAGATGCAGAACGACTGCGACTTGGAATTCCTGAACGGATTGAACGAAGAGGAATTAGACCTCGATGAAATCGAAGAAGAGTTTAGACGCATCGAACGTCAAAACAAGATCAGCTTAGAACTTTTAAAATACGCCGGTGATAAGCGAAGACTATCCGATAGTCAAGTCACTATCGACCCGATAGAAATACCACAGATAGCGAAGAAATCACGCGACGACAGCGAGATCCCTAGAGTCAGCGTAGCGGATATGGTGTCGAAGATTAATGCTTCTAAATCATCATCCAACATGTACATAAATTGGAACGGAAACGAAGAGAATAAACCACCTAGAAAAATGTCGTTGGATAGTGTTGTTGGAAAATTGAGTCCTGCACTACAACGAAAATTCTCTTACGATAGTGCTAGCAAACCCGTTGTACGTGTAGTAAAGAAACATGGAAGTCCTGCAGTATTGAGGAGATTATCAGATGCTATAGGACAATTTGAGGGTGGAGATGCGAAGAATGAAAGTTTTGCTATATCGAAAAGGTTTTCTCACGACAGTACTCGAAAACTAGTCAATGGTAATGATGTGAAAAATGGAGATTTTGCTGGGACGAGAAGCTTTTCCAATGATAGTGCTGGAAAAAAACAAGTTGCACTCGAAGATATGAAGAAAGAATGTTTAACTGAGCCGAGGTCTTCCAATGGCCATATTCAAAAGCAAATCTTATCGTACGATATAAAACAGCATAATGATCATGAAAATGCGAATGTAGTCAATGGAAATTTAGTAATACCAGGAAAACTTTCCGAAAGTGCTAAAAATATAGTTGAAGATAAAGTAGCAGAAAAAGTAAATTCGACGTCACCATCACGCAAAATGTCATTAGATGCAAATTTGTCGACAAAACAGTCGACTGCCCAAAGTAATATTTATCGAAAGCGATCGTTCGACAATCCGATTGACAGAGCTAATGAAGTTGATGTCTACACAGTAACTCCAAGATCTCCTCTACTGGATCGCCTTGATTCGATTAAACAGATAATTAAAAGTACATCATCAGATCTCGAAGATAAAGTTAATGCATCTAAGATTATTAAAGGTACCAATAAGTCAACTTCAATCGTAGATAAAGAAACGTTGAAGTCACCTTTATTAGTTAGTAAATTGAACCATTCTAAGTTATCAAACGATATAAAATCTGAAGTGCAAGCAGAATCACGATTGCCAGTAAAGGAATTGACCGATCAAGGCAAAGAATTATTGAAATCACCGTCACCTAGTAGCAGAATAAGCCAAACATACAAAGAAGTCGACGCTAAACCGAAGCAACAAGTGCCAAAGCCAAAATCCCCCTCAGCTTCGAGAACTCAACAGAATGGCGTGAAAGAAACATATCCTGCTTCGACACTTACACACAAAAGTAAGTCACAGAAGTATAATGAACAATCGAGAGTGCCGGTAGCAACTAACAAAGTGAGTGACTTGCAAAAAGCCGTGAATCATAAGCCAAAAGAATCAGGACCACTGTCGAAATCATCGTCACCGATTAGCGGAACGACCGACTTGCAAAACGGAAAACCAAAGCAACTTGCGCCACTGCCAAAGTCATCGGCGCCAATCAATATAACAAATGACTTACAAAAGACTGTAAACGGAAACCCAAAAAAACTGGTGCCTTCGTTGAAATCATCGTTACCCGTAAAATTGAATAATCAACAAAAGACTGTCGATACTAATCCCAAAGAACAAGTGCCAGTAGTAAAGCCAAGTTCAATAGTGACGAAAAACACTTTGGAATCAAAAGAAGAATTGTCAATGCCAAAATCATCGTGTCTCGTTAAAGAGCAACAGAGAACAATGGAGTCTAAATCCAAAGAACAGACTAGCACGCAATCACCATCCCTCGCAAGAAAGCTAAACGATATTCAAAGAGTTATCATCTCAAGCTCGGACACAACGGAAAATCAATTCACGCCGATAGTCTCACGTTCTCCATTACTCGATCGAATCGAATCGGTGAAACAAAACATTCAAAAAATTGTCGTACACGAGCAAGACCTCCTGCCGGTCCACCTAACAGAAGTTAAAACGCCCGAACGACTATCCGCGCGTATCGAAACTTATCCAGCTGACACTTTATCTACGTCGTCAAGTGATAGTTTGAAACGTCCAGGTCGGCGAAGACCACCGGAAGAAAATCCCAGCGCGAGCTCGTCACCAGTTCGTAAAAGTCTAAGCGCGAGACTTAAAAGTCCCGAATCACCATTGTCGTTTCGTAAGAGGAATGGTACCCTCTCCGGCTCTTTCAAATCCGTTGATTCGACACGTAATGCTGGTAGCGGTGCCAGGAAGGAAAAATGCGTTATTTCGTGAAAAAATCGACTGAATCAATCGCCCGTCATTTATTATTACACGTTTATTTTTCTTCCTCTTCTCTAGTCATATTATCATCATTTCATTGGGAATCTGCGATCTTGCAATGCGTGATTGTTTATTTGTGTCGAGAGAACGTTTCGGTTCGATTTTTTGATGAGACTGTTGGCGATATACATTTATGTGAGAATACGGAGTATGATGTATGCATTAAAAACGATGGTGTATTCTTTTTATCGAAAAGAAAACGACGTTTTACAATAGTACTTTTTAAACTAAGTTTTAAACTCCCGACAGAGACTGTGTGACAGAAATTTTATTTAAATAAAGGTTCTAATTGAAATCATGTACTGTTTTGTTAAATTTATGGCTGATGGTGATTAGTTTAATTACATCATCCCCAGTTTAGAGTTTTGTATATAGCCATTGTGGAATTATGAAAGAGCGAAAGAGAAGGTAAAGGACAAAACCATCAAAATTATGTTTTTTTCTTCTTTATCGAATGAAGTGTGAACTAATATCTCTTACGGTGATAATATAAAAAAATACTAAGCTAACATTCATTTACTCAAAAAAACTTTGGAATTTATTGAATTTAATTAATCTCGTTATGTGTGTTGTTTACAAGTGCTTAAAGCTCACATGTATAATTGGCATTTTTTTCTACTATCTCACCAAAATCATAATCGTTTATATCATTCTATATTACCACCAGCCATGACTTTATGAATGTTCATTGGCATTCGTTCCATCAGTAACACATCATAATTTTCACATGACTGTTATTCTTGAGTTCCGTTTTACTGATGGTGTGTGTGCCTGTTTAAAAAATATACAAAGTGTATTCCTTGTTGTACGAAGATGTAAACTACTGTTTTTTATCAAATGCGTATAACATCTATCCCTAACTTTCGTTTTTCCGCTCTTTTGAAAGTGTTTAATAACAATTGTTTTTACTTTTTTTATTCTCCTCAATCTCGTTGTAATCGTCTTCGAAATATTGTACAACTTCTCCTTATCGATATAATATATTGTTATTTTTCTTTTGAACTCATTGTACCAGATTTTTTAACGTGTTTTTAACGATATATAAACAATCATTGTTTTTCTGAAAAAACAATATCGACCTTTTATATAAAACACTCATATATACTTCAACAATACACTTCAAAATATACCTTTTGGAATTTTTTACACTCGTTATAAAATGCCAAACACAAGTGAGAAACGATTTATTGTCTTTTACTCCCTGTAAACTTTATTGTATAATCTACTATTTGGACTAATATATTACAAAGTTAATGCTAAGATTACGAGCCAAATAACTGTATTTGTTCTCTCAACAAAATTGCTAGCTAAATTTCTGAAGTATCAACAGACGTATTTTATTAAGCAGCAAACTTATGGCGTAGATTAATCTAAGAAATTTGGAAAAGCAAGAAATAACCCAACTCAAAGTGATTATTCAATGACAGTAACTAATACCTATTCGTTTTCTTTTCTACCTACAGATAGCATCGGATGAGGAATCATCGGAAGGCAGCGAAGAGGAGAATTCAGCTACGGAAATTTCAACCGATTCGGAGTTTGAACACGATGGTACAACACCAACGCAGCACGAGATTCCATCGATCAACGACTCATACGTGAGAAAAACTCGCGGGGATTATGTCGAGCCTAAGAAAGTACAAGTGAAGAGTAAAGTTATTGGAAATTCAGTGAACGGCAATGTAATGAAGAACGAGCAGAGCAACAAAAAACAGCAACTATCGGTGAGCTTGGCTGCTTCGATCGCAATCGTAATTTCACGATTCAAAAATACGATAATTGTTGTCATCTTCACAGAAACAGCAACAGCAATACTCGAAATTGAATGCCTTGAACGAAGCGGCAACGGCAAAGCGTCGCAACGAGAACAACGAGCTTAATTCTAACGTCAGCACAGCGCAAACGAGCTCGAGAATTGTCACAACCACACCACTGATCAACCCACGTAAAGGCGATTATTTACTCAACCGTACACATTCGACCGAGGGTATCGCTTCCAAATTATCACTCGAGTTGAAGAAACGCTACTTGCTCGGCGGTTCGGGAATCGGTGGTAGTGTGATGAAGTCTGGTTCGACGTCGAACGTCGATACGAGATTGCGAAATCTCAGCGATGCAATATCTCAGCATCAAAAGCTCTTGAATCCAGCACCGGAGCCAAGTCCCACGATGCAGGCGTTCTTGCAAGGCACAAATAAGTTGAGGACAAGCGCAAGTGGTACGGGAGTTAACCAACCGCCATTGTCGCCAATATCGCCGTCCACATTATTTAGCTCCGCTGCCCCTGTCAAGGCTTTCCAATTCGATAGAAAAGTCTCCGCGAACAGTACAGCTGGTGAGTTTTTTTCTTCACAAATTTACTCAAATAAAACGATGATTATAATTTCTTCTTTCTTTTCAACAGATTTAAATGCCAAAAATGTTCATCTTCCTGACCTCATCAAAGAATCTAGCAACATGAAAGAAATCGAAATCAGAGCTCCGTCCAGGAAGTCAGTAATAATCGAGGAAAAGTTATCGCCGACAATCGAAACCAAAGAATCGCCGAAAGAGCCCGATATAATGGATTTGAAAATTGAAACTCCGACACCTACCGTAGAAATGAAAAACATCGAGGACGCTATAATAACGAAAATTCAAATCAACGGTGGAGTAGCAAGCGATCACAACGAGCAAGACGAAGTGAAACCTCGAAGTCCATTACACGAAACGTCTATAGTTGTACCTGAAGTTAATTGGGAGAAGAACAAAAAAGAGTTAGAAAACAGGGAGAAGATCGAGGACGAAGAAGATACGAGTAGCGAGGATTCCGATGAAATTGACAGTGATTCGTTGTCTTCGAGCGAAGAAGCTGACAATGACAAACCAGCAGTGCCGACGTCCTCACCACCAAGACTTCAAATTCATAATACAGGTGGTTATTTATTGCTGGACGAACAAATCGAACAACATAATGAGGATGGAGCGACTTTCGAACCTGACTCCATCGAGTGTTCATATCTTCTTGAGGATGCTAACAAAACGGAAACGACTACACCGACGACTCCTACACCGGCCCCTCGGACGATCATCAAGGATATGGAATTCGTAAATAGTAATCTGAAGCAACTACAACTACAAGAAGATTCGAGCAAACACAGTGTTTGCAACAGTCCAACATCACTTGGTTCAAGACCGTCGAGTAAGAACGATGACTCGGAAGAGAATGACGTTACTACTGCCGCTTACACAGAGACTGAATTCTCCGAGTGGGCAAGGGACGGAGATGATCTCGTATCAGAAGATTTGCGAGACGTAGAGTACGATATGAATCCGGAGTATCGAGGTAAAGGCAAACGACCATCTCTCGCACGAATGGCTAACGGCGAAGATTTAACAGATATCGAGTTGGATTACTCGCAAGAAGAACTAAATGCAGAGAAGACAAACGTACCGAGTACAATAGCTTCGAAATTACTTGCCAATGGCGAAGAAGATATTGGTTTCATGGATACAGATAATGAGAGTATTTTAGAAGAAGATAGTTTAAAGGAACCAGCCAAAGCGAAGAACAGAGGTTACATCGAGTTCGTCAACTTCTCCAACAGTCCGATAAAGACAGCTGCGCCAATTGCCAAGACTGAACTAGAACAGGAAGAATCGTCGGATGCACTGACTCCTTGTAACGAACAAAATGTTATTGAATTCGATCCGGTGACGATGGACGACGTAAGAGATCGGCTCAGACGATGCGAGATCAAAGTGACCGATGACGACGGAAACATTGAAAAGCCACCAATCGAAGCTGTCAATAAAGATCTGATGAGTTTATCGATGGACGAAGATAGTTTGCTGATCGTCGAGCCTCATGAAGATACGACTACTAGTGAACTGGTTACTGTACTTGCCAGCCCTTGTAATCCGATGGGAGGAGAACTGAGTGGAAAGGATGATGAAACACCTAGCGAAACTACCAAGACTCCTGAACTTAGTAAGTTAAAATTTGATGCGTTACAGTTCGTTTTCGGTACAAGTTTTAGATGTAATCATTGAATTATTTTGTAGCATCCGAAGATCGAGAAAAGGAGCACGAAGACTCGAACAATCCAGACTACTTGGAATACGTAAAACGTCTGCAATCACGAATAGCAGAGTTTAGTAATGTAAAAGATTCAATAGACATTCGCAAATCAAAACGTAAGGGTTCGAAACCAAATAGCAGTAGCAACAGTTCTAGTATGCAAGCTCGCACTGCTGAAATGGTAGCCGAAGAAATCAAAGCTCAAGAGGCGGCATCAATGATTAACGGAATGAACTCGTCGCCAATGACATCGAGGCGTAAACTCGAGGAACTGACGCGCGAACGATCAAAGCAAAAAGATCTTATTCAAGATCTACTGATGGAGAAACTCGAGGCACAGAAGCAAAAATCCGCTGAGAAGAAGGCTAAAAGAGCTTTGAGAACCAGCTCATTTACGGCCTTGAACAGTCCACCAATTAAAGTACCCGCGGCACCCAATAGATTCGTACCTGCGTCCATCGGTGATGGTACACCTCAAGGCAGTCCTGTGAGAGTTACGCCGGAATTTAGACGTGGTAAGTTATTCTTTACGAATTTTTAAAATTCATTCATTTTACATTTTTTAGTAAGAAAACTGTAATATCACGAAAAATAGATTGCTTAACTTTCATTCTCGATAAAACCGTATTTTTGTGATTTTTCCAGGTTTAAATTTCGAACAATGATTTATCACTGTACATACTTTAACGCGCGCTCTACGACCAATATAACAAAAACTCCGACAAATTAGTGCAAGCAGGAATTAGACTCGACAATTTGGATTTTCGACCATAATTCACGTACTTTTGACTATATGCATAATATACTTTACACACACATACTTACACGAATTTAAAAATGCACATAAGCTTTTTTTGCGCTGTAGAAAAAAAAATCGGTTTATTAATCGAATGACGCAAACGTCAAACGACTGAGCCAAAACAAAAAAATTTATTATAGCCTCATCACAAAAAAAACACCTTTAATATTACTAAGCACCAAAAAGCTTGATAAACAAAATCTCTAGTCGAAAAACAAACGTAGGTTTCTCATTCTCAGGTTCGTTTTGCGAGAATCCACTTCCAATCTATTATGCGAGCGTCTGCATGGTAGAGAGTAACGAGAAGCTGCCTGCTTCGCTTAATACCCCGACCAAGCTGAGTTCAACCGAATTGTCACGTATGCAATTGGATTTCAAGACACCCATAGCACCACCACGAATAAAGCACGAAGAAGCACGACGAACAGCTGAGAAAGCTCGCCAAGATGCTCGGGAACGTGCCAGACTGAGAAGCGACGAAGATTTGGGTCTCAGTCCTGAAGATCGTATCAAAGAGCTGCGTTTAAAGGTTGCCAGGAGACAATTGAAGTCGGAAACGGATGAAGAAGTGTCTAAAACTGCGAAGCGATACAGTTTTGGTTTGGGTCGATTGCAGACTAGCAAGAGTACCGATAACGTCAAGTCTATGGCGATGAAGCAGCGAGCAGTTAATAATCCAACTAGTCCGGAAGCTAAAAGTCTCGATGAGTTGCTTGATCCTAAAGACGAAGTCGTCGTTAGAAAGAGGGATAAGAAGAAGTCGAAGGATCCCGAGAGAAGAAAGAGTATTATTCAAGCTGTGTCGGATTTCTTCAAAAAAAAAGATTCGCTCTCGCCACCGTCAGGTGGCAAAGATAACAGACTGTCCATGTTTCGACTGACACCGAAATCTAAGGAGAAGGGAAAGGTGAGTTACGAATGGTTGAACTTTTGCATATCCGCTCTGGTGACTCGTACGTTAATATTATGTGGGAGAATTGTTTTTTTATGACAAACATAGGGAAAACTGTAAAAAATGTAATATTTTTAGTGTGTCACGTTATGAGCTTTGTTAATTATACATGTTGCTTGCATTTTTTACAGTGTTTCCATAATTATCATGTGTTCTTGACAAACAATTCGAATAATCGATCTCCTTGGTACGCGTTAAATTTATTATTTTGTAAAAAAGTGCCATTGTTTGAATAAAAAAATTACGTAATACTTATTCATTTACAATTTCTGATATGTACGCACGCTTCTTTGAACGTCGAGTAGTTTATATGCATACCAGAGTGGATTTAAGAAAACAGATGAAACCGTTCTTTTTTTTCCATCGAGACTAGCTCATCGTATAAGCCGACAATTACAAATTATGTTTAACGTGTTTCAGTTGTTTAAGTCATATTCGGATGGGTCAGATGTAAGCAATTTATAAAAATACGTAGTCGTTGAAAAAATCACACTTTATCTTTAGTTGCCTCCAGTTATACTTCAATTCTCTATTATTTTATTGCAGGTATTCATTTTCGTTTAGGCTTTTTTTCATTTTGTCGTGTGTAACCAAGGACAGCAATAGTCTAATTTCTTTTTTTAAGCACTTACCATTGCCTAAATGTAATATATCGTACACACATAGGCAGACAACTTATTTTTTTAATTTTTAAATAATACGACTAAATATAATAAAAAAATATGCCAAGTCAATACGTAACCATAATATTATTAATTGCACATATTTGTGTAAAAAACGTTAATATTTTTATGATAAAATGCAAATCACACGACGAGAAAAAACCTTATAACGCTTCTTTTATTTAGTTGATTTCCCTGTTAATGCTTTTTTATTATTTTTTTATGCTTCTTACACGTTGGTTTTTATTTTATATGTGCTGAAAGTTTATATTCTCATTGAATAAACACTTGTAAATTTTTCTGACCAATTTAATTATTTCTACAAAATGTTCTAAATTCTTTGAAATATTTAACAATTCTTTATGTTCGCAACTCACCAGGCAAATTTACAAGCTATCGTTCAATTAGATAATAGTAAATTTTTGAAAATTTTCCTCTAACATTTGACTGTAACATTTTTTCAATTCTAGTTCAAAGTTCAAGTTTGTGACACGACATTTCTCACTGTGAAATACGTAGTTGTCATGTCAATCATCCTTGCAACAATATTCTTTTCACATCAAATACTCTTTAGTAGTAATTGTTCACAGCAGTGAGAAAATGTCATGTTTGAATGTCCAATCATCACTGTTATATATACTGATTTATTGGGTACTTACAGCTCGACAAAACCAATCCACAGATCGATAAAAGACCGAAGAGCGTCTGCGAAGGTATGTTGAACGTGGGTAGCTTCTTCATTGAGAGTCCACCGCCAGTGCCTCCTCCCCCCCTCAACTACACGATGCCAACTACTGTATCTGGTTGATATTAATTTCATTTTTATTATCGGAGAATAAATAAAATTAGAACTAAATAACTGTTTTTTCAACAGACGATAGTTTGTCCGATGAGGAATCGAAAACCCAAGCGCTATCAACATCACAAATGAACAAAACGTCCAATACTCCCGACGGTTCGTGTAATAGCATTCCGCGTAAATTGAAAACTGCCAAACGCATTGCCAGACAAGCGCAACTCAAGAGGTAGGTAATTTTTTTGTTCAAAAGAAATTTTAATTATTGGTGACGATTGAAATATTACGGTTATTATATTAGATTAAGAATGGCTCAAGAAATTCAAAGGAAACTAGAGGAAACCGAGGTTAAACAGAGGGAATTAGAGGGTAGAGGCGTCAGCGTTGAAAAAGCTTTGAGAGGAGAAGGAGGTAATACAATTATCACTGAGTTGCACAAGGAAAAAAAAAGATTAGTACCGACTGACAAACTGGTGGTTTTTTAGAGTGTTCCGATCGTGAAGAAACCGATTTACTACGCGAATGGTTCGATCTGATGCGCGAAAGAACAGAACTGCGCAGATACGAGAAAGAGTTGTTAGTGAGGGCCCAAGAAGTCCAACTAGAAGATCGTCACGAACGATTGCAGCAAGAACTGCGCGAAAGATTAGCGGATGACGGTAAGAACTTCATCACGTGATATTTTTTCATCTTTCAACGAATTTTTGTTTTGTTTTATTTTATTTTATTTTTGAATATTTTTTCAGATGAGAAGAAAACAGGGGCCGACGTTAAGAAGGAAGGCGAGATCCTAACAGAAATGTTAGAGATTGTAGCGAGACGCGACTCACTGATCGCTTTGCTGGAGGAAGAGCGTCAAAGGTGGCGTAGACCCTCCTGCCCGACATTCGTTTTTAATGCACCCTACAATCTCACTACAACCACGCGGCTATCCTACACCTACATTATCGTTGCTCTTCTAGTCGCATACTGTCTTTCATACTTTATCACTGATTTCTTTTTCTCCGCAAACAATAACTTCTTTTGATACTATAAACGCTTGCGTACTGTGCTAATATCTTGTGTGCAATTATTGACCTCATTTTTTAACGAGTATGTGATACACTGTTGTTTTAACTTATTATCTTTTACTTGAGTTGTATTCGCACGGCACGCGATGGGCGTTGTCTTGTTACTTTTTATCGCAAAATTTGATATTATGCATAGCTTCATTTCTCACCGTTTGCTCTAATGTGTGACTTTATTTTTTTAAACATTTTGTTATTTTAATCACTACATCTAATGATATATACGCTTATACTTTACACTAATTAGCAAATCAATATATACTAATAAATATGAGGCTTTTAAAAAGAGCCTTTGCGTATTTGCACGTGTGGTTGCATGGTTCAACTTACTTATTAGATTAAAATCAAAAGCATTTTAATTGTATAAAATATACTTAGTATTAAGATATAACATAAATAATTACGCGAAATATAAGCGAGATTTTATCAACTGTGATATATATGAATCTATATGCAATGCTTATTTCATATTTAATAGCAATTTTTTGCGCATATAATGAATTGTATAATAATGCTTTTTTGCGAGACTATAGTATTTTTAAAAACGCTAAACCACTCTAGAGTAGACGTTTCTTAATCGCATTCAAAATTCTGAGAAGTATATTTAAAAAAAACATCTATTTAACTATATTTTTTTTTATTTTGTCTACAAATAAGCCTGCTCCCTTTGCTTAAATTATATAGAAAAGAATTAAAATACATTTTTTGGGAAGTCATCTCGTACATCTGCTTTATATTGATTCACAACTTTCTGTACATGTTATCCAATCATCAAAAAACATACACATAAGTATCAACGTCTTGAGATACCAAAAGAAAAAAAAAAGATTATCCTCGATCATTTTGAAAAAATGAACCTTTCGGGCAGAGGGTACTAGGGCATACGCACGGCTTCGCTTACTTTTGCACGTGTCTGTGCAGTTGTACTTGAGAGACCCACTGGTAAGCTGGTGCTTGTCGCTGATCGATAAAGTTGATAATAAAAATTTTTAAGCATTAGTAATAGTAATTCACGTACGTACTAATAGATCGAAAATATTTTGTAATGAATCATTTGAAAATGTAAGATGACTGTATAACTTATATTCTTAGTGTGAGAAGTTTAAATCTGTATGTTTTTTATCTGTTTTGCGATGAAAAATTCGTAAAAGCTTTTTTTGCACGTGATGTCTTATTATACGGTTGAAAGCCTTCTTATTTTTATTACGTCGGCGTATAATGATTGATTATTTGTAAATCTTTTTGTACTGTTTCAGGTATCAAGATGAAGATCGGGATCTCGAGGCACAGATGTTATCGAAAGGCCTACAATTGACACCCTTGAACAAACGTGGCTCTAAGTATTCTGTTTAGTATTCCAAACAGTATTGCGTATAAAATGGTTTTACATCATATACATAGACGACTGAGGATTAACAAGAGCTGACCCTTTTTTTTCAATTTCATAATTTATGAAAATTTCGCACTTTGGAATTACGTAAGATGAATTTAAAAAAAAATGATAGCTAATTTTAGCTTCTAAAAAATGAATTAATGTTCTTTACACAGGGCACTAAAATATATGGTACTATAATTAAATATGATACCAATGAATGATAGGTTTGGAAGTAACGAAAGATAAAGAGAGATAAACATATTTTTGATGAGTGAAATGTAGGGACGTGAATGTAAAATGCGTGAAATGTATATTCTGTGAATTGAATAACATAACAAGTCTATTTTTATGTTCGCGAAGAGACTGGAGTTGTAGTTTAAAAGCTAAAAAAGAATATTGATTGTTGTAGAATGTAGTTAACATTGTATAGTCAATTTTGTACGCAAACGATAATTATGTTTCTTCTTAAATTTAAACAAACGAACGATAATCAACTATTCATGTATCCTAAAAATGTATTTTTAATGTTTTCTTTAAAGACATCAGGTAAGACTTTAATTCATTACTTTTGATATGAACTGCTAGATTTGAAGAAAGTCTAATGTAGAATCAAAAAATGAAGTGTTATAAAGAGATACGCATCAAAAGGATTGGAAATAATGAAATATTTCAAATCTAAATTGAAGCCTTAAGAAAAGCAATTGATATTGTCCGATAACAATATAATTGTTTTGTAATAGTTTTGATATTTTTGTTATATAAAACTTTTCGATTTGTATAACAATTTTCATCGTGATTTTTTAAAAAGAGAGATGCAATTTTTTATCGCACGCTGCCATCCTTTATCTCGGTGTGGATTCTAATTTAATCTGAGTGTATAAAATCGGTGATAATTGGGAATTTAAGAGTTACGTGTCTTATATACGTCTTTTAACGTAGTTAAAAATGTCAATGTATTGTCAAGTGAAACTTTAATGGATCACTGTTTTAAAAGCGCTAAATAACTAGTTGCAGAATAACTTGATCTAATAAACTCAAATATTTTGTATTTGTAAACGTTTAAGGGATACTTGCAACAAAAAATAAATAAATGATAATGTGACTTAATCATGTATACTGAAAATTGACAATTATAGAGGCAGTGATTGATATTTTATTATTTCTTAACATTTATCGATAAATGAAACCTAGTCGAATGGAAAAGTCATAATAATTATTCTTATCAAAGTTGGAATGGAATAATAATATTCCTGGCCCGTGGAAATCAGTGTAAAATTTGTTAAAGAATAATTAGATGTTGATAATATTGAAATCGATGTTAAAGATTCAATGATTTTTTTATTAATTTTTTTATATGGAATCAAGGGCACGATTTTGTATATATTTCTGTTTTTTTTTAATTATGTGAATTTAAGTCTTGTATGATTTGTACAAATGTAACGATTAATATTGCAGTCAAAAAAAGCAATTGTGGAATTTGTAAGTGCTAAGTTGCGATTGAATGTAACTGTCAAGACTACTAACATGACATGAGCAGCCAAATATTTTACTTATGTTGTCTACCACTGCGCTGATTTGAATAAATGCTTTTATATGAAAACAATATCTATTTATTTATTTTACCTGTAAACTCTAATGTATTTGCTTTGGAGGGAGCTATTAAAATTAATGATTATTTTGTTTTTATGTTTATAATTTATTTGAATGTGAAGTAATTGATCTCGGATAAGTAAATGACGATGGGATTGCGCTAAGTAGTTGATTTTCGCAAGGGTGTAGCTCGTTATTTGAAATTTTTGGTACATTAGCTAACTGGTACGGGAAAGTAGATTATTTTTTCATATGAAGTTAACGCCCGAGTGAAGCGATGCTGAAAAGCCATACGAGACGAGAATCTCCAACCTGAACATCCGTTAAGTACAACTTTGTCCTTTTGGCGCTTTCCACACATTTTTTAGAAAAATACGACATCTATATCACATTCGGAAACGAGAATCTTGTTGCCTTTCCAGCCTCGCTTCTATCTCTCGTTTGAGGTCTATATACAGCCGATCAGGAGGTGAGCATTGACTGCAGAAATATCGCCGAACGATGCTTCAGACCAAGTGCAGGAAGCGATGATCCAGCAAGTGGTGACCATCCGCGAGAGATTGTCTTGGTTTTCAAGCGCGTTTTTAATTTAATTCCTTGTAACTACCAAGATAAACAAAGACTACGCTACGCTAGCTTTTATATTATGATACTTTCTAATGAGGAATCAAGAGAGATGCACTAAGAATAGCGAAGAGCAATACAATCGCTTGTCTACAAGAGCTTCAAGAACATCGGCAATTAATCGATGCAACATATTTAATTCCTTCTTGAGAGGAATTAGCTTGCTGGCTGTGGGTTCAAAGTTGACTATTGTTTTCAGCGATGTTTGATGACGTGTCATCGCAATGGTATCACTATTTCAACTACACCAAATTCATTGCATTTTATTCAGTCAATTTACAAATTACAAAAAGATTCAAACAAATTTATTCATTCGTTTTGGTTGAAGCAGTAAAAATAGATAATTCTTTCTATTGGAATATTGGGCAAGCGACTGAGTAATTGTTCGTAAAGGAGTTCCTCTATGTCGTTCAATTGCCTTCTATGATATTCAGCAGTCTCGAATACGAAGGTCATGTCATCGTAATAATTTGGAAACATAACCTGTATATTTTGCATAGCATATTTTTTTACAAAATATTGACTTCTAACCATGTAGCACAGTCGATTCTTACTCGCTGTAAAAAGACAAAAGTAGGAAACGTCATCGATGATTTTTGTCATTTTCATCTTTCTCAATTCATCCATGCACAGACAATAGTACTCGAGCATTTCAGGGCAGTCCTGTACGAGATTCAAATCACTCTCGTTAACTGTCTTCTCCTTGCTCTCTAAAAGCGCAAAATGCCTAATGAGCATTTTGTGCGATTCGGTCACGTATCCAAAGTAATTAATCATGGCAAACGGAGTTCGAAGCCGACTATCCGTAAGATTGACGTCAGCTCCGTTACGCAATAATAACCGAATGTTTTCCTCGCATCGCCTTCCACACGCGGCATGAAGAGGGTAGCCCGTGTAATATATTGAATACGACGATGCAGTATTGATTTCTGCGCCAGCCTCGATCAAAAGCTTGCTGATCTCTGGTCTATCCGATGCTGATGCTGCGTACAATGGCAACTCACCTGCCGTTGCGACTTGAAGTGGTATGTTAATTTTGGATATTCCATATAGTGGTGTCTCCCCTGCTGTTGGTGCATTCACGTCAAATCCGTAGTCTATAAGTAATTTGACCTATAAATAACAATAAAGAGATATTTAAGTCGGCGTCACCTTGGAATTTCATTAAAAATCAGGTGTTTTGTAGACCTAATCACCATTTTAGTCTTTCCCGAACGTATGGCTGCTACCAGTGTATTACAACTCCTATTTATCTGGGCCACTGATAAATTTTTGTCCAAAACCATCTCGACAACCGGTAATACTTTACTTTCAACAACGTTGATACGGCCACAGCGGAATAGTAAATCTTCAATTTGCTCTGATCTTGTTTCTACGTCGAAATACGCATTGACAAGCGAAATCAGTAGGTTCTTTGGAAGGGAGCGCTCGACAGCCGTCATTATGGCCGAACTATTCACGCGAGCTCCATATTTCATAAGTATTTTGATCAATTCGATGACAGGTCCGGCTTCAAGGGCACGCTCCAGAACTGTCACGTCATGGCCGTCAACAGCGTTCACGTCAGCGCCGTATTCCATCATTTGCACAGCCAGTCGATAATGCCTCGGGTTGTTATTTTTCACCAGCACGTGAAGGAAATTGGAACGACCTCCGACGATCGGTCCTTTCACGTCGAGATTTGCACCCGCGTCGACCAACATCGAGGCGATTTCTATCTCGTCCAGAGACACTGCATCCCAAAGAATCATACCGCCCTCTGTACTATTGAGCCCAGGACGGTACCAAAGCAGTTCTCGCACTCCATTTTTGTCAGCTGATATTACTGCACCTCTTAACACTCTCAGTTGACATGATTGTTGCTGCAACATCAATTTTCTTCTGGATTTCTCTTCATATTGAGTTATATCGGGGGGCAGGCAAAACTCGTTGCTCAAGCATCCACCCATGTCCACGCACACCTACAAACACAAAAAGCGAATCTCCGTCACAATCTTGACACACCTAACCAATATTAATGCTTAACGTTACCAATAACGATATTGGTCAAACAAATGTTCTTCGGTACATTTAAGAGATACAGGCTTGCGATGAAATGACGTCTTAGCATAAGAATGAATAGTCAGAACCAATACTTCTGATATGCGTACAGTTCTCGCTAAGCGTAATCCACAACGAAAGCATGGCGCAGACTGAGTCGCTTAAGTAGCTATTCAGCAGTAGGTAATTCTGGAATTAATCCATTTAAGTAGATAAGTAGATTTAATCGTTCAACGTGAAAGACTTTAATGAACCTAGAATAAGAGGCAAATTGATCATTAAAAGAAATTAAAAAAAATTCATGAACCTGCATTGTTTGACAATATTCATTTCACGTAAATAGAAAGCAATATTCTAACATGACAATACCACTATTCTTGAATAAAGGTGAAAATTACAATCATTCCTTACTTGCCGTAAAAACTAGGCAGTCGTGATTTGCATTTTTGAGTTGCATTTTTTACGGGTGATTGCGAAGTTTAATTTGCAGCTCTGTCGCGGATAAGAACTAGAAGCAACTGCGTTTCAGTTAGTCCTGAATGCATTTGGAAATTCGGAAGAAAGGTTATCCGTTCGCCTACTGAACAACGGAAAATAGAACAGGAAGATAGAATGACTTTGGGGGTGCTTGTTTAAGCTTTCGCGGACGACACAGAAGGGTCAAAAAGTGGCAATTGTTATCTAAGGCAGTTACCTGGCGAGATGGCGAAAAATGACCTACTGTGAATTTGGCCAGCTGGGAAAGGACGTTGACAGCCCTTATCCGTAGAACGTCGCTTTACGAAATGTTTATTCTCAAGCAATGCAGCTTCTTGAATTCCTTCGTTCTTTTTTCTGTAAACGTCCAACAATTAATTTATTCCATTCTTAATACTATTTTTGGGCCATTGTAACACGTTAAGCTAGCTACTCATCTTGAATGGATTACAACTTTAGTATCACTCGCTTCTTGGTAGCTTCTTAAGATGCTTACTCTGCGCCATGCTTTCGAACTTGGATCAATTATATTAGTCTTAACGGTGACTGGCTTAGCAAGAACAGTATGTACATATACATGAGAAATATTAGCCATGTATGCTCATTCTTAGTTAATGCTAACTACGCGTTGGACAAGTTTTATTTTACCATTGTCTATGGTAAGAATGTATTGACGAAAAGATTGTTTTCTTGATTGGTTATCGGTAAGTTGGGCCGTTGATACTCGTTGGATGCATCAGCGTAATTAAGGGAATTTGCTTGTTTATATCGGTAGGAACGGTTATCAAGGAAACATGGGCACAGGCTCTAGCAGGGTTTCCAACCCTGACACTTCTGTAGAGTCCATACTATTTATACAAGAATTACGCCGAATGTCAAAATACCAAAGAAAATTGTTTAAAGTGTTAAAGAGAAAAGTTTATTTAAGACAAGAATCATGGGTGAGTTGTATTTTGAAGCTAGGCCCTAGGCTAAATTGCACGGCGGGCGGTATGATTCTTTGGGATGCGATAATGGATGGCAATCCGCTAATCGCGTCGATGCTGGTCGATGCGGGTGCAGATCTTAACGTGAAGGGACCGGGTAACATGACCTTGCTTCACACACTGATGGACGGTAAAGATCTATGGCGCCATCGACTGGCAATGCACATGATGGAACGTGGCGCTGAAGTGAACGCCGAAGACAACAGTGATAGATCAGTGCTTCAGTGTGCTATCGAGCAAAAAGTTCCGAGTTTGCTGATTCAACAGCTCCTGAGACACGGAGCTCAAGTGTACAGCGTTCACGTTATGAAAGCGATCGAGCACCCGAACGCGGACAAACTTATACCTATGCTCGTCCGTAAATTAAGCACTGTGCCAAGCAAGAGCAAGCACGTTTCAGAGTTACTGAGACGCTGTTGCTTTTCGTCACTATCGGAGGACCGCGTATTGCCAATTGTCAAGAAGCTTTTGAATAAAAACGTACCAGTTTCTAGCATAGAGGAGAAAAGCAGCACGTTGGTACGAGCCCTGCAGATGAGCAAGTTTGAAGTAGTAAGTACTGTAAAACGTCCGATTTAGATTTTTCGCTGCAATTTTATTGCCGGTATCTGAGTACTTGTTCATTGTTGTTTACAGGCGAGATTACTTCTAGAATATGGATTCGACCCTAACGAGCCATCGCAGTGTTTTATAACCCTGGATCACGGAGGTTCGATAACTTCGTACGCGAGCTTCTCTACACCGGCTAAATACGATGAATTACCATTAAGTGTAGCAGCAGGTTCGACAAGAACGGATATGGTCGAATTTCTACTCGAAGCTGGTGCGAAAATTGATGCACTGTCTAACTATGGCACTGCTCTTCATGCCGCCTGCAATAAGCAACATCTAGGAAACATTCAGTTATTATTGCGTTACGGGGCCAACGTCAATCTTCTCGACAATAGTAATCGAACACCGTTTACTGTACTCACATCGAGTACGTGTCTTGAACAGATAACCAAACAATATCGATCGTTCATCAGGTACTTCGTACTTTTACGTGATAAAAAACAAGTAGTCTCAGATCAAGATATGAATTACGTGCACTGTCATTCTGAAATGCAAACCTATTTTGATGACTGTAAGACAGAATTGGATACTATAAAAAATACAGTTTTATTGCCTGGCTTTTCCTATTATTCCATTTTTGAAATGAATAGGCGAGAATTAGCCTTCCAGACTAGAAGTCGACATTTCGTGAAAAAATATACTAATAACCTAACAAGAAAGCTGTTTCCAAAGTATTATGACGAGATCAGATTTGAATTTGAGCTTGCTGCAAAGCTTAGAAGGAAACTGAACGTCATAGAAAAACTCCTTTACAAGCTACTTCTGCCTCGCTTGTCAAATCTCCCACTGGAAAGAATTATCTATTACTTCTACGTGGATAGCGAATTTTAACTTAATTTATGTCACTTGACAGAGTGGAGTGTAATACTTTGACGTAATCGAAATTGAATGTCATTGTGATGACATATCAATTATCATTCGAACAACAACAGCTAACTTTGATCTTGTGGCCCGTAAACTATGGGATCTAAGGCGGAACTGTCGATATTTCACTATTGAAATAATGAAATATTTGACTCTGGTTTTTATGACTGTAGGATTATCATTTTATTAATTGGTAGGGAAGAATCCTCTCTATTGTTCAATGCGACATTTTATAGATTGACAGTCATAAATGAAATTTTATTTATAAACAAACTGTAATAATAACATAATCGAACCATTTAATCTACAAAAAATAAAGTAGATGCTAATAGAAACACGTCAATTCTATTTTTAATATAAATGCAAAGTATTAACACTCGATTATTTGAATCTTTTCCCAATATTTAGAAAATGTTTAGAAAAAAAAATTGAGGATTTTTAAGTTATATCAAAACTGATATTTACAATAAGATTCGATCTCAGCTGTCGTACTAATATAAATTTTTACTTGTAGTATTTTTTTTAAATAATCGAGAACTCATGGCTCTTACCCAAAATAAATAAGTATAATTTAAACGGAAAATTTGTGAATGGCAAACTCACGGCGACATTATATATAAGTGTACTTACTTAAAATTTGAGAGGGGGTGAGGAGGGGAGCACAGCTGAAATAATAACCTAGAATAGAGCACAGAGAACGCTGAAATAGTACCTTTTCAAATTACAGATATGAGATTGAACCTTGTTGTGAAAAGCCTTGCCATGGGTATTTATTTAGACACATAGGTAATAATCTTATTTTGAAAAAAGTACTTTTTTATGTAATTTTGGATGAAATATTTGTTAAGGTAAGGTGATTGATGATAGATAGGCTATTTAATAGAATAGTTGATAGTAATCACAAAACGAGACAATTGTGCTTGAAAAATAATGATTTCTCAGGTTCTTTTCGAATTTCAGAGCCGTTTTATAAGATATTTTCTATAGATTGTTTCGGGAAACCGAATTAAATAGCTAAAAATACAAATTATCAAAAGTATAAAAAATTTTATTTCTTCAATATAGAAATCGATGTTAAGACTCCTTCACCTTATTTGTAAACGTTTCAAAAAGTTATGTTGTTCAAATAGTCGAGCTGCAATTGATATTTTAGTCGTGTTCATTCTCAGTATATATTCATACGCAGATATACTTGTACGTTAACGTATGCGTGATATGAACGCGAGTACACAGTGTTTCTAATTAAAGTAACAATCTCCATGCGCGCTACGTATCGTACAATACAGAGGACCTTTTCCGATTCGCTAGCAAAATAATGATTCTACATTGATGATAACCGGAAACAAATATTTCATAGATTTCAGTAATGAAAATATTAAACATTTAACAATTTGAAACGTAGTAAATAATCGTTCAAAGCTCAGTTCTCCCTCGGATCGACTCCTTCCTTACTGTAGGATCAGCGCTTGCTGTTGTGGTTGTTCAGTTGAAAATTTATCCACTATTCACAAAATTCATCACGAATACATTCAATTTCAACTATACAAAAGTTATTGCATCTTATTTTGTCAAGTTACAAAACGACTCGAAAGAATTAAATTATCCGCGGTCATTCAAGTATAAATAATAGATAACTCTTTCCAGTGGGATAAATGGCAAATAATTTTGCAACGATTTGCAAAGGGCTTCTTCTTTGTCATGTAATTGCTTTCTACGCTTTTCAGCATTCTCGAATAGAAAGTTCATGTCATCGTAATAATTTGGAAACATATCTTGTTTTTGCTCACTATTATAGTTTTGCACAAAATATTTATTTCTAGTCGTGAAGGATAGTTCTTTCTCGCTCGTCGTGAAAATGGAAAAGAAGAAAATTTTATGAATAATTTTTAACGCTTTCATTCTTCTCAATTCATTCATGCACAGAGTATAGTATTCGTGCATTTCAGGGCAGTTCAGTACCATCTTCGAATCACTCTTGTTAACTGTCTTGTTCTTGCTCTCTAAAAGCGCAAAATTCTTGATGAGCAATCGATGCAGTTCGGTCGGGTATTCGATGTAATTGATTATAGAAAACGGAGTTCGAAACCGACTATCCATAAGATTGACGTCAGCTCCGTGACGCAATAATAACCGAATATTTTCCTCATTTCGCCTTCCACACGCGGCGTGAAGAGGATAGCCCGTGTAAAATACCGAACACGATGATGGAGTATTGATTTCTGCACCAGCCGCAATCAAAAGTTTGGTGATATCTGGTCTATCCGATGCTGATGCTGCATACAATGGCAACTCGCCTACTGGTTCGGAGTTAATTGGCAATATACAGTCCAGTATTTCGTACAATGGTGAAATGCCCGAAGTGTTCACGTCAAATCCATATTCTATGAGTAATTTAACCTGCAAATAGCAGCGAAAAATTGTTGAAATACACGCGAGAATGAAGTTCGCGTAGAAATCAGTCGTATGAAACTACCATTTGAATCTTTCCCGAGTGTACGGCAGCTACAAGCGTACTGCCATTCCTATTTATCTCAGCGACAGGCAATTTTTCGTCCAAAAGTTTTTGGACAATTGGTAATATGCGGGTCTCGTCTTGTTCCGTATAACCACAGCGCAACAATAGCCTTTCAACCAGCCGACTCCTACTTCCTACGTTCAAAAATTTATCGACAAGCAACATCAATAGTTCGCGCGAATCCAAATACTCAGTGGCATTCATTATGGAAGAAATATTCACATCAGCCCCGTGATTCACAATTTCTGTGATCAACTTGGCAGGAGATTTTGCCAGAAGCGCGGTCTGCAGAACTGTTAAGTAGTGCTCGTCAGCAGCGTTCACGTCAGCACCACGATTCATCATTTGCACAGCCAGTCGATGATGCCTCGGGTCGTTACTGCTCATGAGCACGTGAAGGAAACTGGACTCACTGTCGTCCGACTCTTTTCTTACGAAGAGATCCGCACCCGCGTCGACCAACATCGTCGCAATTTCTAAATGATTATGCGACACTGCGTGCCAAAGCATAAGACCGCCCACTCTACAATTCAGCGGAGGCTGCTGCTTGAGAAGTTCCTTTACCTTAGCTATGTCTCCCGATTCAACTGTTTTTCTCAATAGTGTGAGCTCAAGATGTCGTTCATTCCTCATTTGTCTTAATTTTTTATCATTCTCTGATGTATTTTCAGATCTACACTGAATCATTTTGAATTTCTTGAAAGGCACTGCGTTACAGATTTCGTCCATGTGATTGACATGATAGATGTACCTAGCAAGCGCGAAAAACCAATGCCTATAAAAATGTGAATGCATCTAATGAGCATGAATGGTCCAACTTACCGATAATAAACGAAAAATATAATCACTTCGTCAACACATTCTTGCCATAAACGATGCCATGACCAATATTGTCCGAGAGAGAAAAGAGTGAATATTCAGGACTAATATTTCTGATATACATATAGTTCTCGCTTCGTTAACCAGTATTCATATTAATACTTAATTCATATCGTATAAGCGGAATACAGATTTAGTTTCTTGATAAGATATTAAGAGATAAGTAATATTAAAATTATAATCTATTTAATATGAGTAAATAGGTTAAAGCAAAATGATCAACTCGTGATAGTAGCAGTATGTCGAGTGTGTAAATAAAACTTTTATAATTCTATATTCTTAAGAAAAATCCTAAACACGCCACGGAAGAAAACATGGCACGCTCATAACTCGTGTTAAACAGTCTCGTCTTCGTCTCGGATATTAATTTACACGAGCTACAGACTTGTCAGTGCTTCTTCTCCCTAGATACATAATTATTATATGGGCATCCCACTGACTTTGTCTTTATTTGCAGAAACTGTTAGAAATGAGGTTAAAGCTTTGATTGGTCTTAAGACCGAAATAGGCTATCAAAACGATTTGAGTGATATTAATAGTGTATGGGGGTGTATATCAATAATATGTACGAGTAGATAGAAAATTTAATATGCTTGAGAAGAAAAATAGATTTATGTAATACTGTAAAACCAGTGTTGATTGATTGGTTTACGGAGCTATTTAAAAAGAAGCACACTACAGCTGACTCGTATTTAACAAATTATTCAACGTAAAAGAATTAAAATTATTATATATAAGAGCTAGAAAACTATATTTGAAGATCAGAATTGTGAAAATATTCAAGTTATAAACAAGCGATTGAAAGCTCTGCTTGATATTGGAGATACTGCCCTAAGACAAAGAGGCTTGCTATAAACATTTGTACGAAGCTAAATGAAGAATATTTAATCGAAAATTCAGAATATATTGTAACTGAAATATTAGCTGATTATCGTCGAAAGGAAATAAACATCGAAAAAATAACTCGATCGTCCAACAGGGAATACATATTTTACAAGCAACTATAGAAGTTTTATTCCGTGATTGTACAAAGTAGAATGTAGAGCGAAATCTGTAACTCTAGTTGTGATTTTTCCAACCAATGTTTTCAGTACTTTTTTTAACTAGTGAAGCAGGCCACCTATGTAGTTTTTGACGTTTCTTTCTCTTGGTTGAAAATAAAATATTTAAAATATCTATAAACAATAACTAAGCCATATAGTTATATTTATATAGCTATAAGTTTGATAATCATGATCAATTATGACCAACATTACATCGTTGATACATTATGCTAAATACGTGGAGGTCTATGTGTCGCTGATCAATAAAATAAATTACAAATTCGTTAAACATTACCCGTTCAGCCATCCCTTAAGAAAAGATTTAATAACCGTCTAATACCGTCTGGTCGAATCTACAGAACGTCGCGTTTCGCCATTTCGTATTAGACTCCTTCCGTTGCAAGTCTTCGAATTTCTATTTTTACATCTTGCATTGTATTCGCCATTTCGTAGGAGACTCCCATAGTTTTCATTGTAATTTGTCAACCTCTCTGACGTCCGCGCGAAGCTTGAACAAGTTTTTTTCTCCCTTTTGCTTGAACAGGGTTTTTGTCGAACCAAGTATCGATCCTTCAAGTCATTCTGTCTTTTTGTTCTCATTTCCGGTCTTTCTTTGCTTATTGTAGTGTTTCTCTGTGAACCATTTAGTGATCGTAAATAGATTACAATTTTAGTCACAACTTATTTCTGAATAGCTTCTTAAGAGGCTCAATTTGTGCCAAGCTTACTTCGTGGATTAATTATTATGCTCAACAAGGGCTTGCATATCGAGAATATTCATATAACTATACATAGTTATATAGAATATAAAATATATGTGTACATTAAGATAGAACTAAAGATTATAATACGTCCGAAATGTTAGCCCTGAGTGTTCACTCTTATGCCAAGACGGTAGTTCATTAGAACGCTGCATCTCTTTTCTCTATCGAATCAACTTTGCTTTTGTCATTGTCTATGGCAAAAATGTATTAACTACGTGACTGTATTAATTATTGGTAAGTTCAACGTTGATATTCATTAAATGCATCAACATTTTTACATTGATTCATTGTAGGTGCTGCTAGGTACATTTATTAAGTTAACATGGGTGGGTGTTTGGCCAAAAGCAGAAAATCCAGCGGTGCATCCAACGATGTCTTAATAGTACCACCATGGGACGTGGTAAATACCCACGTTTTTTTAAGACGTGCAGTCATAAATGGAGAATTAGATAGGGTGGAAGAACTTCTTGCGCAAAAACCTGACCTAAATAATAGAGCGGGTGGTCTTTTGATTTGGCGTGCACTAGAAAACGATGACACGGAAATCGCGTCGTTGTTAGTCGATGCCGGTGCATATCTTGATGTAAGAAATCCATGGGACAATAGCAATTCAAGCATACTTCACTTGCTCGTGCAGAGTAACAATCGAAATCATCAGCGACTGGCTGTGCAAATAATGGAACATGGCGCTGTTGATTTGAATGCTCGTGACGAGTTCCAGTTAACAGTTCTCCATCGTACTCTTGAAGCTAGTTCCCCGATAATTATGATCAAAGAACTACTGCGACACAGAGTTGAAGTGCACGGCACTCCAATCATCCAAGCTACTGTGCACGTCAGATCTTCAGAGCTACTAAATTTGCTCGTCAGTGAATTCCTCTCGACGGGTTTTAGGAACCGGCGGATCGAAGAGTTATTAATACGCTGTGGCACTAGAACCCTTGATGATGCAGATGTAGTACCACTTGTCAAGATGCTTTTGAACGAGGAGTTACCAGTCGCATGGATAGATCACTTACACTTTGTGCTTATACATGCGATACGCGGGGAAAAGATTAGAATGGTAAGTTCTATGAAACGCCTGATTTTTACTCAAAACTTATTGCGATGTATATTTAAATACTTCTTAATTGTTACTCGTAGGTCAAATTACTTGTAGAATACGGATTTAACGTGAATGCACGAGCATCGGATGAAGAACTACCGCAACACTTTCATCAGATCGATGTAAAAATACCAGGAGAGATGCCATTGGGTGCAGCAGCACAAAGTTACCAACCAGAAATCACTCGAATTCTGCTCGAGGCTGGTGCGGAAGTCAATACTCGAATGGAGCTTTTCAGATATGGCACAGGTTATCCTCTTCACGGTGCTTGTGCAATGAGATCTTCAGCAAATATTCTGTTGTTATTACACTACGGAGCTGACGTCAATCTCCTCGACGATGAGGGTCAAACTGCATTTTCTAGAATTGTATATGTGAGAACTCTGAACAAGTCGCACCAATTGTTAATAGCGCATTTTGTTCTTTTAATAAAAATGGGGGAGGTAGTTAATGTTATGGATTTGGAATCCATACAAAGTAATGATGATATGAAATCGTTTTACGATAAGTGTTTGAACGAATTGGAAACAATGGATAGATTACAAATAATTCCTAACGTTCCCTTCTCTCTCTTTTTTGGAAGAAATACGGGAGAATTAGCCTTCAGACTTAGAAGTGAGTACTTTTTGCAAAGATATTATGAAATGCAACGAAGTAAACGATTTCCAATTTATGCCGAAGAGATGCATCATAGATTCGAAATTGCTGAAATTCGTAGAAGACAATTGAATGTCATAGAAGAAATCATTTATGCAGTATTACTCCCTTATCTTCCAAATATTCCATTGGAAAGAATTATCCATTTCTTTTACATGCACGACAGCGAATAAATTTATTTATTCAAATCTTTCTACATCTTGACAAAATAACATGCAATAACTTTGATGTACATCAATCATTGAACAACTGCCAACTTTGATTCTATAATCGGCCAGCTATGGGATCTAAGAGGGAATCCACAATATTTCACTATTGTAGTAATGAAATACTTGACTCTGGTAGTCATGAATATAGTGTTACCATTAGATTAGTCTGAAGCATCACAATTGTCTAGAACAGATATAACCGAGAATTTGATCCAGACTGGCGAGAAAGTCAATTGTCCAATATCGCTTACGATATGTGACAGCGGCTATATAAAGACTTGTAGATAATATTTAGGTATTATTCTGCTACATAACTAACGTCAATCTCGTCGACAATTGGAGTCGAACTCCATTTTCTATAATTAGATTCACTGGGCGTGCGGTTAAACTGCTTTGATTACTCATTAGGCATTTTGCCCTTGAAAAAGGGAAATCCAATTAAAGAGGAAGATTCGCAGTGCATAAACTGTTATCCTGACATCAATTACTACTACAATTTGTGCTTGGGCGATATTAGAAAGATGGTAGAAACAGAAATGTTTACAATGACAAGAATTTTATAATGGAGAATGCTGAAAATCGTATATGGTGTATGATCATCATAGAGAAAGTCCTATGCAAAGCATTGCTACATTATTCATCCGTTCTTCTCGTGGAAAGATTGATCTTTATTCTTTATATGATCTGTTCCAAGAGCTAAATTACATAATTATACATTGGACAAAGGTGTATAGAATACAATAGTCAAATTGTAATTTTGGATAGATCGAATGTTCATAGGCGTCACTCGTATTCCTGTGAGCTTAATATTTCTTCTACTTCAATGACAGCAAATAAATTAATTTGTTTCGATCTTTCTGCAACTTGACAAAATGGAGTGCAATAATTTTGATGTAATCGAAATTGAATGTCATTGTGATGACACATCAATAACAGCCAAATTCGATCGCGCAGATAGTAAACTGTGAGATCTAAGACAGACTGTCAATATTTCACTATTAAACTAATGAAATAATTGGCCCTGGCTTTCATGACTGTAGAATTACCATTTTGTGTTAGTTGATAGAAAAAGTCTTTTTTATTGTACAATATAACTTTCTAATTATTTATAATTAGAAGTCATTGAAGGTATTTTATTTAAGAAATTGTAAATAATAATAATGTAATGGAACGGTTTTTTCTATAAAAATATAGAAGAATGCTAATATGATGATGTCTACTTTATTAGAAATAGTACGCACCCACGCAATCTTACTACGTATCTCTATTCAAATGCACAAATATATATATGAACATACAAAACCTAGTTAGGTAGTTATGTGCCAAAAGAAAAATGGACACGAAGGAGTTTCAAATTTCAGTGTAATTCGGCCAAAATGTAAACTATTATCGATAATTCAAAAATATTAATAGAATTAAAATTCCACTGATTGAATTTCTAACATATCTTTTTATAATCCTAATTTTTAAAAAAATGATGACTCGGCGACATTCGTAATTGTAATTGATGGCAGATGCGTGGAAAGAACACGAAATTTTGAATTTTATTTTACTTCGAAACATTTGTATTAAACATCTTGTATTTATATTTTACATTTATAGTATATACGCATAAATACATTATGTAGATTGAAATCCACTACAAGCAATGCTATTCATTGATGAATAAACATTGAATTAGCATTTCAATTGAGCGCCGTGCGTTCGATACCTTATCTTTCTTAGGAGTTCATCTTCTTATCCTCTTACAAAAATCTTCTCCTCCTCTCACAAAAAAAAACTTGACAAAGTAAAGCAAGCTTATTCGTGATCTGATTGTCTTAAAAATAGTCACGTGATCAGCTCTTATGCTATAGTGTGTGTATATGTACGCTTATAAAAGATTACTACAGATTTCTTCATAGATAATTTAATGTTCAAATAGTGTGACAGTATAATTTGATAAATTTAATATGGATTAAGTGATTTAATTATACGAAATTTGAAATAATAACCGACTGATACCTCGATAAAAAAATTAATTGAAATTTCAACTCTATGCGAAAGTTTAGCTTCGAATAAACAAATTAGGCTATAAAAGATGTAAATAGATAGATTATCACAAGAAAATATTAGTCAATGATTTTGGTTTTATTTAGTTGTATAAAATATTATAAATTTTATTTTTAAATACTGGAGAATATTAATTATTATTATATGGTAAAGGATATAATTATAGAAAACTATAGTTTTTTTAGAACATATATAATGTTTTTCTATCGTGTTTATGAATCTTTAGACTTTTGATAATTTTTCAACATAGAATTTCGGACGATAATAACTTAAGATATTGTTGATAACTTTTCAAAATCATGAGTATATAACTGCATATTTATTTAGCAATTAATAATATCGACAACTATATCTTATATCAAATCATAAAAATATTTAATGCATATTAAATTTTCGAATTTTTTCAATTTCACCAATAAAAGTATTGATTTGTATTTGTATATTAAAATGTACGCGAAAAATATAACAAAAAGATAAACACGCCAAGCGCACTAGACGTCATTATTATGACATATAATAATTGATTCAACAAAAATTAGTGGACACAAACACTATTAACATAATCCTTTATTTTTTGGAAAAATTTTTTCATCAACTAACACAATAGTAATTCTACATTCATGGCTACCAGGGTATTTCAGTACTTCAATAGTGAAATATTAGCAGTTTATCCTCAAATTCCAGAGCTAGTAAACTGTGGAATCAAAATTGACTGTTATTCAAGCGACTATTGACGTGTCATCGCAGTGACATTCAATTTCGATTACGTCAAAGTTATTGCCCTCCATTTTGTCAAACTGTAGAAAGATTCGAACAAATTAATTTATCCGTTGTCAGTCGAGTAGAAAAAATATACAACTCGCAGGAATGCGAGCGTCACCTGTGAACATTTGATCACACATACACTAAGATACAATTTAAGTATCCTATTCAGTACACCATTGTACAATATGAAATTATGTACCACAAATTTTTGAACATATCATGTAAAGAGTACAGATAATTCTTTCCTTTAATAGTAGTATAATTCGCAAATAATGTAACAATGCTTTGTATAGGACTGTCCGTATAATGAGCACATGCCATCTTCAAAATTCATATCATCGTAAACATTTGGAAGCTCTTCTATTGTTCACGGACTAATACAACTTTCCTATATGACACATCTAATCATGAAGGTTAGTTTTCCCTCATTTATGAAAAAAAAAAATAGAATAAAAGGAAACGTCATGAATACTTTTTGTTTCTCCCATCTTTCTAATATCGGCCAAGCACAGATTGTAGTAGTAATTGATGTCAGGATAATGCTTTATGCACTGCAAAACTTCCTCCATAACGGGCTTTTCCTTTCTCAACAGCGAAATGCCTAATGATCATCGAAGCAGTTTGGTCGTACGCTCACTAAATCTGATTATAGAAAACAAAGTTCAACCCCAAATGTCGACGAAATTGACGTTAGATCGATTAACGCAACAGTAATCAAATGTTTTCCACAAGTCTCTATTCATACGCACCACGAACAATATAGTCCCCGTCACATGCCGTAAACGGTGTTGGATAATTAGCTTTCAGAACCAGCTCGCGAATCTGATGCTCGGCGATATCTGTCCTGTACAATTTTAATGCTGCAGATTAATAAAATGATAATTTTACATTGATGACTACCAGAGTCAAGTATTTCATTACATTAATAGCGAAATCTTGCGAGTTCTCCTTTGATCCCACAGCTTGCTGGTTATAGAATCAAAGTTAGCAGTTGTTGTTCAAGCAATAATTGACCTACATCAAAGTTATTGCACTTAACTTTGTCGAGTTGAAAAAATATTCGAATAAATTAATCTATACATTTCCATGCATGTAAATGAAACGGATAATTCTTTCCAACGGAAGAGTTGGTAAATCGTTTAGTAATGTTTCGTAAAGGATTTCCTCTATGGTGCTCAATCGCCTTCTATGTTTTACAGCAGACTCAAATACGTAATTGAGGTCCTCGAAATAAATTGGATATTCCGATCTCTGCCGTAGATCGCGATAACCTTGCACAAACTGCTCACTTCTAGTCATGTAGCATAGTTTTATCTTAGTTGCTTTGAAAATGCAAGAGAAGGGAATAGTAGGCAAGATAAATACCGTTTCCATTTTTTCCAATTCGTTTATACACGAATCGTAGAATAATTGCATATCTTCATGATTCCGTACGAATGTCATATCGCTCTCATTAACTGCCACGTTCCTTTTGACTAAGCGAGCGAAATGTTTAAGGAACACTCGATGCGAATCGGTCGTACGTCTATGGTATACGATTCTAGAAAATGGAGTTCGACCCTGATTGTCGGTCAGATTGACGTCAGCTCCGTGGCGTAATAACACCCGAATATTGTTTACAGATGCCACTTCACAAGCGCAATGAATAGGATAGCTCCTACCATACCTCAAATTCTGCGTTGGAGCATTGACTATCGCACCAGCCTGAAGTAGAAGTAAGCTCATATCTGCGTAATTCTTTTTTGCTGCAGCACCCAGTGGTGTCTCACCTGTCACTTTGTCACCGATGTAATGAAAATGATCCGGTAGTGGCAAAGGCGATGCTGGTGCGTTCACGTTAAATCCGTAATTTATAAGTAATTTCACCTGCGAGTAACAATTAACGGGTGTTTAAGTATTTGTCGCAATAAATTTTAGGTAAAAAGCTGGCGTTTTATAAAATTTACCATTAGATACTTTTCCGAGCGAACGGCATGTATAACCACAAAGTGTAACTGATCTATTTCCGTGGCTGGTATTCTTTTTAACAAAAGTATCTTGACAAGTGGTACTACGTCTGCATCGCAGAAGGATGCACTGCCACAGCGTAACAGTAGCTCTTCAACCCGCTCGTTCGCCGTTCCCAACTCGAGGAATGAATTAACGAGCAATTCCAGTAGATCAGTTGATTTATCGTGTATAGTGGCTCTTACGACGGGAGTACCAGTCACATCGACTTGGTGTCGCAGAAGTTCTTTGATTATATTGATCGGGTATCTACCTTCAAGAGCACGATGGAGAACTGTCACGTGAAATCTGTCACGAGCGTTAATATCAACACCGTTACGTTCCATGATTTTCGCCGCCAGTCGATGACACCTTCGGTCGTTACTTTTCACGAGCACGTGAAGAAAAGTTGAATCAAATCCGTCCGATGGATGGTTTACAGTGAGATCTGCGCCAGCATCGATCAACCTCGATGCCGTGTCTATCTGATTGCTCATTATTGCATCCCAAACCAGAAGACCACCCTCTCTACAATTTAAGTCAGGATTTTGCTCAAGAAGAGCAATCACCCTTCCTTTCTCTTTTCCGAGAATGGCATTTTTTAATGTTGCGATCTCTTCCTCGCGTGAAACTACTCTTACGTTCCTACCGCAAGGTATTCCATTGCAACACCCAGCTATATTCATCTGACCGACGTACCTAGCAACACACACAGACAACGTGTATAGAATTCGCGTAAAAATATCGATGCATCTAACGGATATCAATGTCGAACTTACCAATAATTAATGCAGTCACGTCAAAAAAATATTGCCATAGACAATGGCAAAAAACAAATTTATTCGACGGAGTTAAGAGGTGCAGCAATCTAACGAGCTAACGCCTTGGTATAAGAGTGAACACACAGGGCTAATATTTCGGACGTATTGTAATCTTTAGTTCTATCTTAATATACATATATAGTTTATATTCTATATAACTGTATATACAGTTGACGATACGCGAGCCACTGTTCAGAATAATACTTAATCCACGAAGTAAGCGTTGCGCAGATTAAGCCTCTTAAGAAGCTATTCAGAATTACGTTGTGACTAAAATTGTAATCTATTTACAATAACTAAATATTTCAAAGAGGAACACTACAATGAACGTAGGAAGACTGAAAATGAGAACGAAAACGCAGAATGACTTGGAGGACCGAAAACCTATTCAAGCAGGACGTTAAAAGGGTTGACAAATAACAATGAAAACTGAGGGAGTCCCCTACGAGATGGCTAATACAATGCAGAACTAAAGACTTGCAATGAAAGAAGTCTACTGCGAAATAGCGAAATGAGACGCTCCGTGGATTGGACCAAATGGTCTTGGCCCAGGCCAGTATTTCTATGCTAGAATATCCCATGCTCACAAGAATAAATGCTTACTAAATAATATTCTTTGCTCAATGTAGCAATTCCACTTTGAAATATCTGCTCGTCTTGAATGGATTACAACGTTAGTATTACTTCTTAACAGCTTCTTAAGAAGATCAGGCTGGGCCACGCTTTCCTATGCGGATTAAGTGTTAGTCTCAATACATAAATACACATATCGGAAATATTAGCGCTGCACATACAGTCTTACGCCGAGGCGTTAGCTCACGAGTTGGCTCGCCGTCGGACAAGTACTGTTTTGCCATCCTCAGAGCCGCTGATCGCATTTGTCACTGAATATCGGTAAGTTGGTCCGCTCGTATTCGTTCGGTGGATGCATAAAAATTTGGATAGGGATCCGTAGGCTGCCTGTTGCCAGCCACCTCTATCAAGATGGGTGGGTGGATCAGCAGAAGGAACCGCGCTGCGTCAGCTGATTATCAACTAAACGACATGACGTTGCAACGGCACGTAAGGCAGCTGACAGAGCTAAGATCCGCAGTGATATCAGGAAGGAAGCGCAAGGTGAGAAAATTGTTGAAGAAGAGGCCATATCTGAATTGCAAGCCGGGCGGGATTATTCTCTGGGATGCAGTGTCGAAAGATGACTACGAGATCGCGTCGATGCTGGTCGACGCGGGCGCAGACCTCACCGTCAAGGGCCCGACGGACGGGCCGTTCTCGTACTTGCTGCACGAACTCGTGAGAGGTCAAAATCAAAGGCGCCATCAACTGGCCGTGCAAATGATGGAGCACGGGGCCAATGTGAACGCAATCGACGACTTTCACTCGTCGGTCATTTATTATGCTCTTAGGACCGAGTCGCTTTACTTGCTCGAGGAACTGATCAAACACGGGGCGGAGCTGGACAGTTTCTTGGTCCTGAGAGCCGTCGACGCAATCAATTCGGAGGAGCTTGTGGATTATCTCGTCCATGAATTTCTCAAGGTTGGAAGGAAGGGCGAGCGAATAGAGGAGCTGTTATTGCAGTGCGCCTATACCACGCGTGACGAGGAAGAGATACTACCAATTGTCCACTTAGTTTTGAACGAAAAATTACCAGTCGCTGAGATAAATAGGAGAGGCCGTACGATTTTCGGTGCCATAAACTTGAGAAAGATTGAATTTGTAAGTTGTGTAAAGGGTCTGACTATTAGTTCATGTTATTCTGACACGTACTTCATTATCTCTTAATTGTTATTGACAGGTGAAATTACTTGTAGAATATGGATTTGATGTGAACGCTCCAGCACCAGTTCTGTCAGAATCGGACAGTAAAGTAGAATTTGAAACTTCACTTCATGCCCCATCGGATGGCGAGTTGCCATTGTACACAGCAGCAGGATGCTATAGATCAGATATCTCCGAAATTCTTATCAAGGCTGGAGCAAATGTCAATGCTTCATCGCGGATTGGAACATCATACGTAGGCTTTGCTCTTCATTCAGCTTGTGAAACGGACTCTTTAAGAAATATTCAGTTATTATTGCGTTGCGGAGCTAATGTCAATCTTCTGGACAGTCGGCGTCAAACTCCTTTTGATATAATCGGATTGACTGAAAATATAACCGAACATCATCGATCGTTCATTAGACATTTCGCTATTATGACGACAATTGGAATGACAGTTAATCAGGCAGATTTGCAGCTCGTAGAAAATCATTCTGGAATGCAGAACTACTACGCTCAGTGCTTAAAAGAATTGGTAGAGATGAAAACGACAATGATAAGTCCTACCGTCGACTGTTTTTCCCTTTTTAGGATGAATAAGAAACATCTATCCTTCATGTTGAGACGTAGGACGTTTATGGAAATATTCACTAATATGCTAGCACAACATAAATTTCCAATTTATCACGATGAATTAAATTTTATATATAACGAAGCTGAAAAGCTTAGAATTGGGTTATTTTTATTCGAAACAATTCTTCGCCAAGAATTGAAAAATCATATAGCACTTTATTCACTGGAAAGAATTATATACTTTGTATATACGAATGATGATAAATAAGTCTATTTTCTCGAATCATTTTATAACTTGACAAAATAAAATGCAATAACTTTCGTGTCATTGAAATTAAATATAATTGTACTGTCTTTTGTGCATGACGCATAAATTATTAATTGAACCACAACGCCCAACTTCAATTCCGCAGCAAGAAAATTAATTCCACTCAAAAAGAAATTTAAGTTAACATAATTTTTTATTACGTTCGACTATGAAATACTTATCCGCAGTTGTCATGAATGTAGAATCACCACTTTGTCAGATGATAGGAAAATAAGGCCTTTTTATTGTATATATAATACTTATATATACATTCTTTTGCTTATAATTCAAAGTCGTAAGTGACAGTTTATTTTTATAAAAATTATAACAACAATGTAATCGAACAATTTTTTTCTACAAAAAATAAAGTAGAATGCTAATAATGATTATTATGTAATATTATTACCTGTGACGATAGCAACGGAGCACGCGGCGCGCACTGAGACTACTACTTTTATTTGAAACACTCCATGTTGCTATCTTTTTTCACGAATACCTATATTTACACATATAGATCTAGATACGTATGTATACAAAGATTGAACTGGAATGAGCTTCAATTTTTAAATGTGAATTACTGTCGATTATTCGAAAATATTATAATCAAATTGGAACTCGAATATTTGAATCTGAAGAGCTAACTAATAACTGTACTTTTTTATGGGACGAACGAAACCAAACTTTCTGCAAAATGCAACAATCGCATGATGTTTGATTTGCTGAAACCAATCCCCGTGCCTTAAATAAGTTAACACGAATTTCCAGTGATTTAAGATCAAAATCCAAAATACTCCATCACCGTAACAAGTATAACGAAGTTCTCTTGTGAAGCTGATCCCAACGTGTTAAGTAATTATGAGTTGATTGCGACGTTAATTAATATAAGTAATTTTGGCACGAGTTCAACAAATCAAAACCCATTAAGCTACGAACTTGTCTTAAGTATAAGCTTTATATGTCACAAATTAATCGGCTTCGAGAGAAGATGAGTTTTACTATAGCAAGAGACAATAGATATATTTTATTAATAGACAGAAAGGAAGAAAATTATTCTTCCCATATAAATAGAAAGGCTGGATAAATATAAAACAACTTTATTTTTTTTTTAACTATAAAGTAGTTTATAATTACGATTGTTTGGTTTCAGTCCACGATTAATTTGCTATCGATTTATTTGCTAATTATTGTCGCCTATTATTGTGCTTAGCAAAAAATTTAGCTTTATTCGACAATTTTCATTAAAAAGTCTGTAAATTTGCTCTTTCTTCTTTTTATATAAGTTTTATATAGTAATTTAATCTTCAAATTTGTTCAATTCAAATAGTCGAGTTTCAATTCCATTTATATTTTCAAATAATGTAGCCCATAATTTCACGTTTTCCCAGTATTGCACTGAAAATTGAAACTCACACGCGTCCATGTATGAATAAACACGAGCATGCGCATTGTTATGAGATAAAACCAACACCCTCGTTTAACAATTGTAATTTTCAAAGAAACTATATTGTCACCATAAATCGTTTCAGATCTAATCATTATTATTTCACTTTTAATATGTACAGGAAAAACATTATTAAATCTATAGTAAATGCTCTCATTGTCCATTTGAAGATTAAGATATCGATCATATGTTAAGGAAATGTCATAAATTTACTAATCAAATAAAAAATTTTATATAAACGTCTTGAAAAAGTTAAAATCACTGTACCTTATTCCATTAACAAATTCTTAAAAGATTCCAATAACAAATATTGTAAACTTATATTTAACTTTTTACAATCTTGTTCATTATCGATTTAATAATTTTATATTTTAGACTATCCTAATTCCTTATATTTATTCTCCCTTATCCTTATTCTATTCTTTACTCCACTTCTCTATTTTTCCCTTTTTCTCCTTCAATTTTTCTTTCCTTTCTACTCTTCCATGAGTATTTTGGTGAGGAAGTTTTACTCCATCAAGTTATTCATTTTTGCCGTTATCTAAAATAAAGACATTCAAATAGAAGAAGACACACGCATGCGTGCGCGTACACATGCGTGATCGTGATAAGCAAACAGGTGTGTGTACAACTTTTCCATCACTGTTTTTTAATTTTCATGACGAAATATTGATATTTCATTAATTTGCAGAACATTTAATTAAATGAGTGTAAATGACAGTTAATTGTATTGAAAACTACGGATATTTGAACAAAATCTCAATTTAACCCGAACCCATTTATGCAGTTAACCTCGACATTGAATTGTGTGATTAATATTTATTAATATTTATTAAAAGTATAGATAAAAACTAAAACTAGCTTTTAACTAAATTCATAAGTTTATTATTAGATTTTTATTAATAAGCAACAACAATGACAGATGTAGTGCCAGACGCCAAATGCACCGAAATATCTAATGCTGTAAAGAATATTGCAATGCGAGTCACTCCTGCAATATTGAAAGAAATGTTGAATGATTTAGATAAGAGTGAACTTATTTCCCTAGTTTTTCTAATGGTAGACAGAAACACAGATTTTTATAAAGTTCTTGAAGAAGTTAAAGAAGATCCTCGTATTGCTTTTGAAAAGTTACCTAGTATGAATGCTTGGGCCGAAAAATTAATAGAGTCCTTGATGATACTTGGAAACAAATATGTAATAAGAAGAATGGGATTTGATAATAATGAAATACAATTTTTAGAAAATTTATTTGTAACAAGACAGCACAATGTTAGTCCATATTTAAATAAGGCTATAAAGAGTTTATATTTTTTATGTGCAAATTTAGATAATAATGAAGCTAAAAGATTAATAAACGAAGTGAACAAAAACTTAGGCAAGTCTTCACATGTTAATCCTAATGATATATACCTTGAATTATTTATTTTAGAATGGCTGCAAGAAGAATATATTTCTGTTAATCCAGGTATAATTGCATTGCATCTTTTCATAATGTTTATCTTTTGAGTTACTTAATTTGAATTTTCATAATTGTTTACTTACATTTTTAGATGAGTATAATTTATCTAATTTATTAAAATGTGTAAAAAATATTGGTTGTTTATTCGACTTGTCATTTAATTTTGATTATTGGGAAATTAGTGATATGGTTCTGAGTAGAGACAAAGAAGATTCACAGATATGTTCACAAACTCCAGATATTAACTGTAGCTCTCAATATCATCAAAATATTAATTGTAATACATCTAATATAGATGCAGATATTATGTGGTCTTCTCCTGATCATTTGAAATTGTTTATTATTATAAATCAAATGGATTTTACAGATACACAAAAGGTATTTTCATGATCATTCTATGTGGTAAGCAATTAATATTTATAATATATTTCTTTAATGTAGTTTAAATCAAGAAGAAAAGGATCAATGGAAGATGAAATAAATTTAGAAAAAACCTTCAAGAGCTGTAATTTTCAAATAGAAAAATATAGAAATTTAAAAAAACAATCAATGATGAAACTATTAGAATCTCTAAATAGTAAATTATACTCCAAATATGGTGCTATTTTTATATGTGTATTAAGTCATGGTTTCAAAGGTATTTTATAGAATTTAATACACAAAAATACATAATTTTTATATTTTAAATCTACATTTATTTATCAGGTGAAGTGGTTTGTGCTGATGATAATTGCATATCAATTGATGCAATAAAAGAAAAATTTTGCTGTCAAAAACTACAAAATGTATTCAAATTTTTGATATTACAATCTTGTCAAGGAGAAAAGATAGGTATAATATTTACCACAATTATTTATATACTAAATAATTTACATGAATGTTACTTTAGATCACAATATAAAATGCAATTCTTTTAGGATTAGTGGAGCGGCAATATGGTAAATTAGTCAAAGATGGTCCATCTAATTTTACTAATCCTCGTTATCGCATGCATTTTTGCCTTTTCCATGCAACTGTACAGGACTTTGCAGCAATAAGAGATCAAATGCGAGGTAATTAAATTATAAATTTTTCTCTGTGAATTGTTTCAAATTTGAAAATTTTTATTTTTAGGTAGTTGGTTCATTCAAGACTTATGTAAACAAATTCACGAAGCTGATAAACAAATTGAAATAAGTGATTTAATTAAAAAAGTCAAATTAGCAGTCACTAATAGAAGGGGACGTTTAACTGATCATGATTTAGAAGATGCTGTTCAAGTACCAGAAGTATCAGGGGATACTACTATGTATCCTTATGTGTTAATCAAAGTTATGTAAATCGGAGATCAGCAAAAAATATTTTAGCTTAATTTTTATAAACTTTTCGATTGAAGCTTTTACTTTCGTAAATTATAACTAGTTTTGGATATTTAAGAAACAATTATTTTTCAAGTCATTATAAAAAGTCAAAATATTTATAAATCAATTTATATTTTAAATTTTAGAAAGTATCTTAAAAAATTGATAATCAAAATAATTGTAATGTTGCAATTATTGTGAAGTACACATAATAATTTATAAGAATGAGAAACATAAAGAATAGCTTACATTGCTCAAGCATTTGATAAAAAATTATGAATGAAAATGTTTCATAATAACGGAATTGTAGTTTTATGTTAATGTATGAAAAATTATAGATATATTATGAATGAAGACAATAATTGAAGAATTTACTAGTTGTGATATGTGATATTAAGATTTTTTAATTTTTATATGAGCTCATATGTTGTGTTTATTAATGTTACTCATCTATGTATATATGTTTTCTAAATTTTAATAAAATATTTTTATGATACAAAAAGAATGCCATTAAAGTCATAAAATATTGCAGCAATAGTAAGAAAAAACACTCAATTGGAAATTACCATAAAATATATAAAATTTATTAATAACTACACAATTTCTTTACATAAAATTAAACAAAAAATTAACTTTCTTTGACCTTAAAAAAAGGCATCACTATCCTTACTAATTCTTGTTCAAAACATTTTGTAGAAAATCTATTGACAGACTTTCTAGCTGCATTACTTATTGCTTTTCTTTCCTCTGTAGACATATTTATGATTGATACAATAGTTTCTGCATATTCTGTAACTCCATTAGCAAGATATCCTGTTCTAGTTTTATCTTTAACATCAATTATATCAGCCTTGGGTCCTCCAGATGCATTGGCAACCATAATTAATCCAGCTGCCAAAGCATCTACAACACTTATTCCAAAGTGTTCATTCCACATAGCATGTATGCCAATAGTACCCTTTTGCATTTCATAAATCAAATGTGAATAAGATATATTCACTCTGAAATCGACATTGTCCTCTATGTGCAACTTCTTTGTTAGACTTTTCAATTTCTGAACATATGATTTGTCATCTTCATTACGACATGAACCTATTAGCACTAGACGTATTTTCTTCCATGTGTCTGCATCTACAATACTTTTGATTTTGTACATTACCTCAATCATCATTTTATGATTCTTCTCTGGTCTGAACTGACTGACAGATATAATATGAATTTCATGATTTTTTTGCTCCTCATTCAATAGTGGTAATTGTGTCAATTTATCTACATCACAAGGGGGATACAATAAGTGAGTTCTTTTAGGGCAATTCCAGATAAAATTGATATGATCTTTGGTCCAAGATGAATTCACCATAACAATATCAGCAGTTCTTCCAGTTAAACCATATAAGAAAGCAATGCCTTTATAATATCCAAGTTTCAAAACTGTGAAAAGTGGATTTCTTGCTATTACGTGACGATTATTAACAGCAGTTATTCTTTCAGATACACAGTTTAACATGTCTGTTGAAATAATTGGATAGTGAGTATATGAAGCAACCTTACAGTTTCCCAAATATTTAAACAGTGGATATGTGAAAGCATAACCCATTGTATCAATAAAAATATCAGGCTTGAATAAAGTTAAAGCTTCCCAGCCAACCCAAACTGAACCAAGACTTTGTCCTAGTAATGTACAGAATGGATACATCTTGGCCTCAATCCATTTCCTTCTGTGTAAATAAACAATATTGATGTTATCCTGCATTTTTATATCAAAAACTTTTTCAACGTTTGACAAAATAGTTTCTCTATCATGTTCCAAATCACCAGTATATATAAATACATGCACATTCTTGTAATTTGATTGAAGAGCTTTGACGACAGACCAAAGTACTCTTTCTCCACCAGCGCCAGCATTGCAGTAAGGATGAAATATACCTACAGTGATTTCTTGATTATCTTTTAGTTCTGTATCGTTCTTCTTCATAAATAGTCTTCTCATAAAAATAAGTACCATGAGTGGGTACAGACATACTAAAAACAACCAACATGTTGCAATGAAAGCAGCTATTTCGCACAGCCAGTAGATTAATTTTTTTGGAATGAACATCTTTGTAGATTAAATTTCTTATACCGTTTTATCAAACATAAAAGTTGTTCTGAAAGTAAATTTTTATTAACTGAACTGCAGAATGTATTTATAAAGAGCAGAAAATAGTTTGTTTACATTATGCACGGCTGTAGAGTCTGACGTGTCCTCTCATAATCTAGTAGAAAATCCTTATGTAAACATAACCTTACATTTGTGTCAAGTATTCTATTCCTACCTAAAAAAATGCCAATTCTGTTTTATAAATTATTCTAGTAACGATGTAATCTCCTATCAAGATATAACAATAATCTTATTAACAAAATACGCTCATACTTTTATGTGTCAGCATCAGCTGTGATTATTCAACGTCGACAAACCGGATACTTTTGACGAGATAATATAGTCAACTTTTCCCAGACAATTCTAAAAGCGGTCAATAAAATGCAATCTTTATCAATAAAATGTTTCGTCAGCCACGATAATATGACGAGTTTTATTAAGGCGAAGTCGCCGAAAAGTACTTTGAAATGACAACTCACTCCATGTTTCAATCGCTCCGTTATACGTCTTGAAGTTAGTTAAATCAGAGAATGCTTATGGTAATCTAGCGAATTAAAGTGTTTTTGTATTTCAAATTGTTGTCTTTGTCGTTTAAGACGAAATACTGAAAAAATTTCAAATCCTACTCGAAAGAATAAAAGAAACTTCTAACGAGTGATTTTCAAATCGAAAATAGAGTAACGAATTTAGAAGTTTAAATTATGACCACGTGATTAAGAAAATCGCGCCCTATTTCAACATAAGTAATTAGCTGTCTGCTACATTTTATCAACATTCAATCCAGGTAAGAGATATATACGATTAATCTAAACCAATTATCTACCAGTCTCGAAAATAATGAGCCTTCATTGATTTATCGTAGAAATCATTATACAACACGCTAAAAAGCAACGATAGCGACGTCATTAATTTAAGAATCCGAATATGCGCGAAAAAAAATCAGTTTAGCATCAAATTATAGACCGACTGGAGTACTACAATTACAAATTTTCGTAGGAAGAACGGTTTTTCTTTGGGACACAGAACGGTGCGAAGTTCCGCACTAATCGAAAAGCGCGACGTCGTCATCAACCGGCAGAGCTTACAGTCACGTCAGATCGCCCGCTATAAAAACACTCGCACACATAGCAGAAGAGAGTCCGTAAGATATATACAGACGTACAAGCAAAGCCAGATCACGCAGATTTGGTTCACAGTATTCACACTGCTGTGAATTTCACAGCAGTTGCTCGTGCACAAACACAGAGAGTAAAGCGCCGCCTTGAGAAGGGGGGAAACGTGGAAAAAGAGAAAGAGAGGAAAAAGGGAGTTGACTGCTCTGCTGCTGTTACGGCTGCTACGCTTTTGGGAGAATAATAGTGTTGTCCTGTTACTCCTACTAAAGAGTAATACGCGCGTAGTGTCTTTTGTTTGTGGTGTATAGTGTGTGACGCGTGCCAAGTGTGGATTGTTTGGGGGGCAAAGTGCAGCAGCGATAATGATTAGTGCCTCGTCCTAACCGTCAACCTCTTCGCGCCCCCAAGACATGGAGGCCGATTACCAGCCTTCTACGCTTAGCCCCGCTAAAGTTTTGACAGGTAAGCTCCAACTACTAAAATATGTCGTTTTTATAATAGTGGAGTGTTCGAACGTCTTTCTGCTTAGAGTGATAGCATGTGTCACACAAATGCTTGTTGCGAAACACTCAGAAAATGAGTTGTAGGTATAACTTAGTCTTGCAAGAGTTTTTGTATTATGCTGTGTTGAATCTGAATACATAGTATATTTTTAGTTGTTTGACTGATGATTGTTTGTTTAGAGATAGTCATGTTAGCTATTACTGGAAGAGTACTTGTTGATTTAAATTGATCGATTGCAAAAAATATACCTATGTTGGAAGTTGTCATATTGATTTTATTGAGAGCACAACAATCATGACCATGTTTGTTATTTATGGATCAGGATACTTTGTGCATTTCTCAATCTATGTGTCAAAAAATTTTGTAACTCCAGCTTTCATCATTGGCCTTATAAATATTCAGAGGAGTTTTTTTATTACATCTCTGATGATGTAAGATTTTGAAAGATATGAATGACAAACATGATCCGTAATAGAGCAATCTCCTATACCTGCATTTGATATCAAACATCAAATTCATACTGGTTTCTTTGTTTTATCACAACAAGCAGCTTTCCATCGCTGAACATTTTTATTTCCAAACTCTTAGAATATTCATACTCTGTAAACTCATCTAGTTTAATACTAAAATTGCCAAATAAATCTCTTGCAGGAATGTACTTTTATTATCATTATTAGTCTAATTACCTATCCAAGAAAAAGTAAAATTTCTGTTGCAATCTTGACAAAATAGCTTTCCGTATACAAAAAACCATATCAGAAAAATTTAGTGATCAATGAGCCACATGCTTTGGCAACTCATGATATAACTATTGTATGAAAATCCTCTTGGCTCTTGCTCGCTCGCTCACGCTTTAATGTAAAATCAATCGAAATTACTTGGCTCCAGATTATGATAAAGGAAAAAAAAATGAAATGTAAGTAGGTAGACAGTTTGTTCGCGTATATATCTATAACGCGTATAATGGCTCCGGTTTTTATCTTCACGCCTACACACACGAAGCAGATTGTAATACGCAAACCGCGTGCGCACCTACATGGTAAATTCGAAAAATATTTGTTCGACTTATTGATCCTCGTTGTATTTTTCATCGTACGTCGACAATATATTTCCGGCGATCAATAAGTTTTTTTTTCCGTCGTTATCTCACTACGATTGTTATCAAGTTGAATCGTAGGGGGAGCGGAGTGATTTCGTCGGTTAGTCACGAAAGAATGTTCATCAGCGATCAACTTCAATTGCACGTCTCTCTAAACGAATACATAAAAACGAGTCAGAATGCATAATCTGAAACACTTGTTATCCTTGGTGTCGCGGAGTAGTGCCATTAGCTTCCTCTCTCGCAGCAACATAGCTTTGCGTAAGTATCTCGCATATTCGCGAAAATTGTCATTGGCAACTGCGAGTGTGTGTACGTATATTCCACTTTACTGCGAAACTCGTATCGATCGGCGTTGTGTGTCTCTGTTGACCTATAGTGTCGCGTTGATGGGGCATTATTTTTGATGGACTACTAAGATACTTGGCGTGCAAAGTGCGCTCGAATGCTGCGTTCGATAATTTGGCGCAAACGCGACTACACCGACAACTTTCCATCGAAACGCCGATCGGAAGGAGGCGCTCGCAAGGCTTCAGACTCACGACTCACGACTCACGGTCCGAGCAGCACGTCAACTTTCGAGATAATTATAATGAGTGGCGCAAGAGAATTAAATAACGTCGGAGCAAGAGAGGCCCAATGAATTATTTAGAAACGAGGCGTAAAAGAGAGGCTCGAGCGATTGCGCCTGCCTGCGAAAGACAGCGCGGGCGCGTCCGTGAAAAATTCACGGCTCCAAGAGCTCCGAGCGTGAAAAGTCGCGCGGGCGTCGAGCGAGCAAACGGGAAATAAAGAGCACTTTATCCGGTCGCGCGCACGCGCTCCTTCCTGTCGGCCGGAAGTGTTGTCATGAGTTGCACGCGGATAATCTTTTATTCCGCGCGATACCCGTGCAGCCGCTCGCGCGGCACGACAAAACCATATACACACGCTGCCACCACCCACGCGTCCCTCGTAGGAATACCGGATTAACCTTTCAGCCTTATAGTCTCTCGCCGTCTTCAGTCGTCGTTCGTTTGCTCCTTTTCATTTTCATTTTACAGCCGCTGTAAATAATGAAAGCGACGATCCGTACCCGAGCCTCTCGGATTTCCACGATTACGAGCCCAATTTGGAATTCGACGACACGGAGCTCCAGGCAACGTCGACTGCATGTGAGCACACACACACACACATACATGTATACGTACATGCAGCTTTTTCAAAATGTACATGAGCAACGCATTAACGTCATTTCATCTGTTCTGTAGCAGCGGTCGAGTTATTAGAGGAGAAATTGGACTTGGCGGTTGGCGTGATAGGCTCGGGAATTGATTACCTAGAGAGTCCAGTGAGCGACGGTACAATAGAGGAAAATTTCGAGGAGGCTCTTGTTGATGCCCCTGTCATCGAGACTGGTACTTGTGTATACGCATCTTGTTACGTTCGGGCACGGCTATATCGAGTCTTTCTTTTTTTATGTGCAAATATTCATGACGCACTTGCGTCACGCGCCTGTGACGAACGTGTTGGAAAAAACGTAGACGACCCTCAGTGTAGCTTGGTCAATCGGATAACGAACGCATAACGAGAACAAAAGTCAAAATTCTTGAAATTCGTTTGAAAATCGAGAGCCACTTGATCTTCATTATTATCAAACAGTGTCGTTACACGCGTCGTTTGCCGGCTATTCCACTTTCGGTTAAAGTGCTTTTTTACTGACTTGCCTCCGACACTTCAGCGTGTCTTTACGACGTTGTTAAAAGCAAGTGTACATATAACTCAACTGCATTACTTTATATACTTTTTCTCTCTGATCAACAAACAACAGCCGACGATTTAGCTGCATTGGATGAAACAGAACTAGCCGACGAAGAGGATTACCACGACATCGCGCGCCTTGGTATTGTCGAGGTGGTCGGTGACGACAGTGCAGGACGCAAGATAATCGTCGTGTCAGCATGTAAATTACCACCGACGGGCAAAGAAGCGTTGTTCAGCCATGCCAAGCTATTGCGTTACCTTACTCACACCCTCGACAAATTCGTCGAGCAGGACTACAGCCTTGTGTACTTTCATCATGGCCTCACGTCCAAGAACAAACCACCGCTGTCTTGGCTGTGGCAAGCTTACAAAGCTTTCGACCGCAAGTACAAGAAGAATTTGAAAGCGTTATATCTCGTACATCCGACCAATTTCATCAGGATAGTTTGGCAGATTTTCAAACCGGCCATTAGGTATGTGTATTATTTGTGTGCATCCCTCCCTCTCTGCCCATCTGTCTCTTTCTCTTTTCAGCGAGACAGGAGAAATAACATGTTATATCGCGGGATTTTTGAGGTCGACCTGTGTATAGGCGATTGGCACGGGGCTCTTATATAATTTTTTTTTCACTTTTCTGTTGTGATTTCATTAGTTTTAACTTTTTTTATACAATATTTGTATTAAAACTTGACGGAAAAGTATTATGAAACTACAGGTCGATCACCTTATGAATGCTTAAATATTATGACGACTTTTTATTAATACGTATGACTTACTTTTCAGTGCTAAGTTTGGTCGAAAGATGATGTATGTCAATTATTTAGAGGAATTGGCCCAGTATATTAATCTCGACCAACTGATAATTCCACCGCAAGTCCTTGAGTAAGTCTTTCATTGCCAAATTTCTAATGAGTCCTTATCATTTAATTATATACAGTAATTAAAATTTGCGTTTTCAGGCACGATGAACAACTGATGTTGAAAAATAAAAAAAATCTGCCGACAAGTCCACCACCAAGTGTCGTAGCGACTCCAGTTGGAACGACTCAATTCGGCGCGAGTCTTCAATTCATCAAAGAAAATAACAGAGGAGATCCTATACCTCCCATCGTCCGACAATGTGTTGAATTTCTCGACACCCCTGACGGTAACGACGTCTTGTCATTTTGTCGAATAAATTATACAATCAGCTCTGTGGTAAAATCACTGCGTAACAACGTATAACGCTATAATTTATTCATTCGTCTGCAGAGTTGATTCATCTTTACGACAAATCAAAGCCCTAATCTAATCGGAAAATTGTAAAATTACAGCATTGGAAACTGAAGGTATCTTTAGAAGATCCGCCAATGTTGCGGTAATTAAAGAGCTTCAAGGCAGGTGTAATCAAGGCTTGTCTGTTGATTTCCAAGGTGATGTACATATAGCTGCGGTGCTATTGAAGACTTTTCTTCGCGAACTAGAAGAGCCACTTATGACGTACGACTTGTACGATGAAATAACACAATTCCAAAGTTAATATTTTTATTTTTTTGTCTTATCATCGATGAATATATGGACTGTTTGATACATTTTTTCTTTTCGTTGACAGCATTGTCGAAAGACGAACGTCCAAGGAGAGTGAAAATTCTTATTTTGGAAAAGCTCCCTGAAGATAATTATCAACTTTTGAAATATATCGTTCAGTTCTTATCTAGGGTTAATATTACTTTTGCAAGCGACAATTATTTTTTAGGCTGAACAGTAGTCTGCAATATAATATTTTTCTAGGTAATGGACAGATGTGATTTGAACAAGATGACGTCTAGTAATTTAGCTGTGGTGTTTGGTCCAAATCTTGTCCGTGCACCACCATCCCGAGGCATGTCTTTGTCAGCGATCGGTCCAATCAATCAATTCATCGACTACGTTTTCACCGACCAAGATAAGATATTTATAATATAAAGAATATATCTACTTATGTAGTTACTTTTTTGAGAATTGGGCCTAATCGCGCTACGACTGTGTATGTCTTGTGTATAGACGCCATGATTATTTTCTGATAATTTTTTGTGAAGACTTTTCCGATTTACGTTGCGTTAAAAAATTTGTTTATCACATATTTTCAGCAGCTTTGTACCGCCATAGCTCAGTCGAATATACTTCATTTTAGTGTCAATCTTCATTGCGCACCATTACTTACATGTGCATTTGTACATTTATTGTCAACTTAGAGTATCGTGACATCGATGTTTTAGTAACATAGATAAAAAAAAATTAATGTTAAGTCGGATTCTGAAATATCATTTACTTTGAAAGTAAATTGGCACTAGCAGCATATCGCACTTTTACATACGTACATAAAAAATTTAATGAAAAATTATCAGAAATGGATGCTAAAGATCCTTCGTTAAAAAAGAAAAATAACGATATTGCCTCAATGAAAAAATAACAAAAAATTGTTGCTACAATTGTTACTATTATAAATGTCTTATACCGGTGATTGCTAATGAAAAATATCTATTAAATGTTTATATTTTGTAATAACATTCGTTAATTTTAAATTTTTTTCGCTTTTTAACATTTAAAAATCTTTTTTAGTGAAAAAAAAAACCTAATTTTTTAAATGATATTTTTAGTAACATGCCGAGAAAAGAGAAAGAAAAATTAATATATAAGCTGGAAAAATAATTTTTGAGAAAAAATGTACAATGCAGGTACGATTGTGGTAAAAAATTGGTCGAAAAGAGGCTAAAAATATCCAAAAAAAAGTCTTGGAGGTTTGTATATTTTTGTGAAAAATTGACAACCACATACCAAAGATATAAGGAAATTCACACAATTTTTTGTATAAAGTAGTATTATACTGAAACAGTGTAATCAAATCTTCATAGGTAATAGACAATGAAATAGGATGATCCCTCCAAGGTTTTATTTTTGCTGCAGTAAGATACAGATCTTTTTCTGGCATTTCAATTCAATATTACATTTTATTGACAATTAATTATTATTATCAACATTCCATAGTAACTTTAATGAGTTTTTAATAACAAAACTAATATAGTAAGATTGATTTTACATACAAACTGTATTAACTGCAATCAATAATGCTAACAGAAGTGATCTGTTTATCGAAACATCCTGTTATATAAATAATAACTTGTACATAATACAACAGTGTATAAAAAAATTCTAGTTTATAAGATGCCTAGAACTGATTTTTAATTAAAAGAAAAATACAAAGAAAAGAATATAAGAGAAGATACTATAATATAAAAGCTAGATGACCACAAAAATGATTGTGGATCATGTCAACATAGATCTATATGTTACATACAACAAATTTTTTCAAATTATTCTATATATAAAATTTTAGTAACAGTAGGTTTAAATTATTATAGATTTTTACTTACTTAGCCGGAGCATTTGTCACGTTTTTTCTTAATCTGAACTATATAAATGTACGTTAACACCAAAAAAGCAAGAAACACTCGAGTAAGAAGTTTAAAAAAATCTACTCACCTCGTAACTGTACGCACCCAGGCAAATGCAACTTTATTTTTTTAACAGTGCGTTGCTCGTTAATCACTAGCCATTCCTTATGGTGATTTAAATTATTTTGTATAATAAATGATGGAAATGATATCAGGGATCGTTATAATGATACATAAAATCTGTATAACTCAGAAGAAACGTATTCATCGATTTTTGTCTATACTGCCTGTATAAAAAGATGTTACGTCATGTTTTTCTAACTATTTTAGAATTTTACATTTTCACGAACGAATTGATTTTTACATTTGAATGTTATAATAATAATATTGGTTATAATATAATAATAATAATAATAATATAATAATAATATTGTTATAATAATAATATTGTTATAATAATATTATTATTATAATAATAACAATTATAACCATGAAACCTCTTAAAAAAATAAATTATCCTTCTATTTTTTCCTAATCTGTACTCATTTAATTTTTAGATTTGTAAAGTATCGATATAATAGCAAGTTTTGGCACGAAAAAGAATTTTTTGTACAGGTAGTTAGATTTTATGTAAGAATGAAATGTGTCTGTAGTTTAGACTGATACATGCACGACCCATGTATATACCTGTGATAGTTGCACACTGTTTCATCTGGAGTATCTGCCAAAATCTGGCGATTAAATGAATATAATAACAGTAATAAATACATCGTTTAATTATTATTAAAAACAACTGATACCTTATTTTCAACAATATTATTTATTGATTCTTTTTATTTTTGTCAGTACAGTATAATTCAAGTGACAACAAAATATACGTTGTATTATAGTTTCGCATGAGTTAGACAAATTTGTTTTAAATAAATTAAGGCAAAAAGATAATTAAAATGAAATTTGTAAAATGTGCTGCTTCCTTTGATAACTGTAAACACTCAAAATTTTTATCCAAAAACTCACACTAGAAGAGATTACTCAATATTCTTATATAGTGTTTTACAGTAGCATAATTTTTAACAAATATCATAATGTGAAACATCAACTTGTGATGGATAAAATTAAATAATAAACAATTAAAATTATAAAGTTCCATCAATTCATTTTTATTTACAATACTGTGAAGTTTTGGTCTTTTGAGAAACAGTTTATGCGAACCTCTTCAAACGGAGAATCTATTCGTGTTCTACCGAAATTATTGCAATATTATAAATAAAATTAATTGACGAAACAACAGTAGTTTTAACTATATATTATCAAGCATCATAGTGTTGAATCGGATATGATGATACCAAAGCCTTGGATTTAAAACCTGAACATTGTATTAGAATGATTTTTGTTTTTCTCCTTGATGGACATATTATAAAATAAATATTTAATTTTAGTCAAATATGTTAGCAAATTTTTAAAAACAAAATGATAAAATGTCACATAGTTTGACTTCAAATTCATTAGACATTCCAATAAGTAGCACGTTATTTTTTCAATTCTTAATAGCATTCCAAAACAATCTAATTTTATACATTTCAAATACCAGTAAACTGTTACATACAAAGTAAATAAAAACTCGTTTACCGTGTCTTCATCATACACAAAGATTGGCCATTGGAATAATTCAAAACAATCATAGACGGGTGTCTTATAAAGTTGCTAAGTCTGCAATCTTATAAAAAGTAGCAAATTTGACGCAAGTCATGACGTATACATTAGAAATACTGAACTCATTTATCACTTCTTGTAATGTCAATCAAAGTATATGCGTAGTGACATAAAAAAATTCTATCAATGCTTAAACTTTCAGTTTGTGAATTAATATATTTATATCGAGTATTCAGAAAAATATTTCTATAAACTTTGTTAATGCATAAATAAAATAACAAAATTTTTACGTTTCTTTAAAGCTTATGAGATGTTCTTGTCAATTATAAAATTACATGAATGAGAACGTAGTCATCAACCACCCATTTATTTCAATCAAACTAATTGAAAAAAAATTCTCTTTTCTAAGTGATCTACATCACGCGCTTATAGAAAATTTCATATGTAAAAATAAACTTTGATGTTTCAGTTTGCTCTTTGTCCACAACCCACTTGAAAGAATATTGATAATCAATATATTTGAATACGAATCAATTACATTATTTTTATTCATTATATAATAGTAACAATAAAGTTTGTTATAGTTGCACATATTAGTTAGATGTTATGATTCTGTTACTTCTTTGTTTATCGCGTACATTATATATATATATATATATATATATATATATATATATATATATATATATATAAATCCTTTTGGCATCCTACACGTGTTTCAAATCCACACTGTAAACCTCAAGTAGTAGGCTACTTAATTTTTAGTAAAAGGTGACTGGAAATTATGTACATTTGAGCACAGGATTGAAAGAAAAAATTCTTAAGAGTGAATTTTCAAAAACAAATCCTATGCCATATAAGGTTGTAATAGTACACACAAAAGTGTTAAAAAGTAATAAAAATTGAAAAAATATATCTTAAAAGTAAATGCCTTGTTGGAAAATAAGAAATAACATATTGTACAACTTTTAATATTTATGGGAGCTTACTTTAACCTTTTCGAAATATTTTTGAAGCATTTTATAAGAACAACAACCAACAACAAAGCGAGTTCAAATCAAGTTCGAAATAATTATTTGAAATCGAAAACAGCAGTATGTTGTTTTGTATCAAAAGTTTAGTAAATAACAGAAAAATAGAAATGTTCACATCGAAACTATATAATCTATTGCTCGTACAAACGTCTCGATAAGCAACATACCTCTCGCACGCAAAAGCATATATAATATTACAACCTCGGTAAGCATTGTTGGAAAGTTATATTACGAGCTACTGCCACCACCGCAGCATGAACTCTTGGCAGGTTGACTTTGTTCGGCAGACTCATCTTCGACCACCACGACATTACGTCTGGTGCTATTGTTCCTCGTCAACGAAGATTTTTTCTCTTGCTCGTCAGCATGCTGCATCATACGCTTTGTCAATTCAAGGAACATTTCCTCTATATTTAAATTTTGCTTTGCCGAGGTATGGAAGTGCACTGCGCCGACTTGTCTTGAGTACCTACAAATAAATATCGGAGTTTGACTTATAACTTTTTTAATCGTGTGAGTGTTAATCTTGATTATTCAATTCTACAGATCGCATTTTTAAATGTTAATTAATGACAAAAAATATGACAACGTAAATACTACGCTTTTTTCAATGGCCTAATTTGCGAATTGTTAATTACGTTTGTTATCGTTTTGAATTACTCATCAATCAAAAAGTTGCAATAACGATTATTTTAGAAACAAGAGCCATTCAGCACTTCGTGATAATATTTTTACACTATAAAAAATTCAATTAATATTATGCGATTGTAAGTCTTTTACCCTCAAACTCGTTTAGCAATGAAAAACTTTGTATTGGACAATGCTGATTACATGCTATATAATTCATTGTAGCTTCAACTTTTTTAAGTTTTTTAAATCAAATATATGAACAAAAAAAAATAGTTGAACTCACTCTTCAGCCTCTTCAATGGTGACATTTCTATCTTTCTCTAAATCTACTTTGTTCCCAGCTATAACTAGACAGATATCACTGCCTAGCATTTTTTTTAATTCCTTTACCCAATTTTTCACCTGAAAATGAAAAAATAATGTAAAAACAGCTTCGTACAAAAAAGATAAAATTGATAACACTTGCCATATCATGATCATCAAAATTAACAATAACATGGAATAAAGAGTAAGAGAAAAACATAAAAAAAGCATTCAAATATCATTTGAACTAACTTTTTTAAAAGTTTCTTCATCCGTAATATCATAAACTAATATGGCTCCATTGGACATTCTATAATAAATAGGCCCTAGTGCATGGAACTTTTCTTGACCTGCTGTGTCCCATATAGCAAGATTCACTCTTTTTCCATTAATATTGACTTTTTTATTGAAAAAAGAGGCCTGTAAAATAAATTGAAAATTTAGAATTCAAATTTCATTCATATCAGCATTTAATAGCTACGAGTCAATTTAATTGACACTACTTGATAAAGTTAAATTTATAATTTTTTAATAACCATTGGAACAACTGAATATTACATAAATCAAACAGGTTGGAGTTAGAAAATAGGATGAAGCTAATAATATTACAGGCTTTATGCATGTACTTACATAAGTATTTTTTTTCTTATATATTTAGTCTACAACGATTGAATAACTTAGTAGTTTTCATTTCTCTATTAGTATATTTAAATTTTTTAAATACTTTGTATTTAGATTATCTGAATTAAAGTAAAATTCCTTGCCTTTGACTATTTTTATAAATTATCAACATTCAAGTAATCATAATTATTTGCATTGATCTCATCTGTGATTAGATGTATTATCTCAATGATGTAATAACTATTATTAAAATATAGCAAGCGTGATTTTATTTCATCTTTAAAACATATAGAAGTTATTGCAATATAGTTCACTCAAAAGAACCAACTCATTCTTCAATGCAAACAAGGAATGGTGGCCAAGTAGATAATAAAAAATGTAGTGATATTGACATTTTGTGACACGTATGAACGTGAGCTAGTTTTCACAAATATACTTTGCAAATGTACACAAAATTATAGACAATTTAGGCAAGACTGCAAGAGAATCGTCGTGTACGAAGCTTAATCAAAACAAATTTATTTAGCTGCAATTATCAAGCTATAGTTAACAATAAAAAATAGTGAATCACCTGCAGGGTGGAGATATGTTTATCATTGAACTTATCCTCGACGTAACGTAGCACGACAGATGTTTTACCAACGCAACCTTCGCCGAGAAGTACCACCTTGAAATTGTAGCTGCCGGGGGTGGTGGTGGATGAGGCCGTCGCCATCGTCTTCGTCGTCGTCGCCGTTTCCAGCAGTTATACGCATTTAATTTACTGCTGCCGCCGCTACGTATTTCTGCTGCTGTTGCTGCTACTGCTACGACGATCAGCTGTTCTCACCTGTACTGCTACTATCATATCAGTGGCTTGTTTTATTGTGTGCAGAAAGCATTTATTTTTTTGATGAAAATAAGCGAATCTGCGAATGAACAAGCGAAAGTGAAAAAAACTTGTAAGTGCGAAAGAGAAACAGATGATTTGTCATTTCGCGTCGTCAATACCGTAGGTTACGTGACCATGCTGAAGACCGTAATGGGTTAATCCGGTACCGGAGAAGATTCAAATGATTTCCCACCGTGTCGTCTGCTTTTTTTGGAGTAGCTGAGTAATCGTTACAATGATAGTTTATTATACGTTTCTTTCATTAATCAATTTTTTACTATTTGATGAACGATTTACTTATGGACAAGATCTGTAATCAATGAAAAATTTATAACCAAAATACTTAATCAGGAAATCGTGTTAGCGAAAGCCAAACATGCAATCTCTGGAAAAAAAGAAACAACGCACCTTAAATCTCTTGGTAAAACACGAACAAGACACAACAACAAATAAGAATAAAATATAAGTCAGCTGTAAACGATGACTCTGTTTTTCAATGCATCGTATGCACATCCAATTCAGAATTATCTGAAAATCCAATTTGTAGAGGCCGGAGGCACGCGCATTCTAACACCAGATGGCACTAAAGAAGATGCTAGAACTTTTTCACGCACTTATTTCCGTCCCACGCTGTCGTCATTATATCATCAATCAATTGATAATTGATTGAAATTGTCAACTGAAAAGTCAACTTAATAACAAAGATTAGGGGTTCACTTAATCTTTGATAATAAACAAAAAAAACATGACGATCGCGCGAAACTACAATTGACCGTCAATACGAATATTTTGGCGAACCGTAAGATGTCGCTCGGCATGCTGTCAACAAGTAAAATGCGTAGCTAAAACTTCATCCCTACCAAGCGGGCTTTTTGTTTATGCTGTGCGGCCTGGCACTCTCGGGAAGACAGCAGTCGTCGTACACGGCACGTCCAGGTTTTGACACTTGACTCGCCGCCAGCACTACTGAATAGCAGGATTTTCAAATACCAATGAATTTTTCATTAATTATACTTTCTTGGTAATAAACAATCAAGTGTACAGCCAGTGCTGAAAAGACTGGAAGTCGCGTGTGTTTGTTTACATCGGAAAACTGGAACAAGTGGTAGACAGACATTTGTGTGGTGAGTGTTATGCAGTTAGGTCGACCGGCATAACACTGACTTAGAAGACTCGGGCGATCACATCAGATCACTAATTAATTACAAGGTGAGTGTTGATTGCATGTACTTTCATTTGAAAATTGATCAATACCCTCGTGTCAAAAAATACCATGCCGTGGCAGCGTAGAGTGTGTAGTATTGTAGCGCGGGGGAGGCGCACCGCTCGTTGGCAACACCGCGTGGCGCGTGCTCCGTCAACTTACTTCAACTTGGGTCACCGATACCTTTCGGTGTCCTTTCGCCATCATACACACAGCTGTGTGTGAAAAGCAGATGTCGAACACAGCTGGCGAGCTTTTCCTCATTGATGTTTTGACATGTTCTCGTCAAAAGATAATTTACCTGTTGAATTTTGTTTTACATGGGTTCTTTGTCTGAAGATTTTATGTATAGGCATTATGGTATGTCGAAATGGTGGCGCTGATTCGAAGTGTCTTATTTTAAAATCTGTCGACAACGGTTGATTTCTTTTGGTTGTCACTTTCGTGATTGCAAAGCATTTTATCATTTTATTATCGTTGAAGCTTCAACATTGTCCTCGTGAAAGTACTCCAGTTTTATCCTGTCGTGTACATAAGTGATAGTTATATAAAACTCACGGAATAAGAAAGTGAGAACGATGAATACTTCTTAGTATAGCGTTTTTAACGTTTTCGCTTTTAAAACTGAATGTTTAAACACACTTCACTGATTAAAAATTCATTCGACTGAATATTTTCACTCGTAAACGTCACGATTGACTTTTTTTGTGTTTTTGTGGAGGAGATAAGAGCGTCTTATTTTTACACTCGTAAAATCAGTAAAAAACAAATCCTTATACGTACATAATCGAAAATTATCATCGCAAACAGCCGCAGATCTGCATTCGACTCTATCTTTTTCCCTTCCTTCGTGTATATTTTATATTTCTCTCTCTCTCTCTCTCTCTCTCTCACAAAAATACACACACACATACACATATACGCTAAGAAATCATTTTAAAGTACATTTTTCTGAATTGGAAGAAACGTAAAGCACTAGGTGTCTGAGCTCTTGTGACAATATAATGACGGTCATAGATGCGAAGGTGTTTGTGTGTGTGATCACACACACAAACACCTCCACAAGGCGTAGAGGGGGTATATTGCGCACAGTAAAGTTGGCGTCTGGTCGCGCGCGCAATCCACACTGGAACGTGCTGATCGTTGTATCGGCTGCGTCCTTTTTTTATTACAGTACATTTCAAAATCGTGTAATTTTATTTCTCCTTTTTATAAATTACAGTGTGTGTGTTTAAATTGCGTACAAAGTATCGCGAAGCCTTTTTTTAAAACTCATTTTCGTAACGGTTCGACAACGTTTCACGGCGAGACTGGAGTTGATTGTGTATCGAGAAACCCGGCGAAATATGCCCGCAAAGGCAGCTCGTCCTCTTCGCATCGACAATCGTCTACTCACCTCTAAAACAAGCCAGTCGCGAGTGTCACCATTGCAAGGACGCTACAAGATTGTACTTCGCGATTGTTTATCGTAATCTTCAAACAATTATATATATTCCTCATTGACTTGACCGCAGTGTGACGTGACGCTGTAGTGTGCGTGGTGCACGAAAAGAATTATCTGCGCTTTTTCTGCAAGGTAAGTCGCGTGCGTTTGTGTACACACGTACAGCATCTGTCATGGCGCGAGCGCGGCCTTTCGAGCGATATGCACATTCGTGCACATCATGCGTATACCTGATGTCCGCTTCAACTACCTTGTTACTTCCCGTATATTTCGTCATCGATCTTCATTTTCTAATCGTACTTTATCGTCACAGAGAATTTCTGTGTACTTTTCTTAATATTTTGTCGTGCAGAAGCTGATACATCGGGAATTGGCGCGGGTGCTAAAAGCAGGAGGGGGGTATAAAATATCAATGGCGACGGCCGTCAGCAGTGCCACGCGCCATGTCGTGCGCGTTCACTTCCAAGTCGTGGCGGTAGCAGCGGTCCCCTTCATGCACAGAGCATCTCTTTCGTTGTATACGCTCTTTTCAAACTCACGTGTATACGTGACGTTTTTCACGTCTCGATGCTACGGCGGAAATTATGGAGCACGTCGTTGCCTTTGCAGGGGAGGATGGCTGATGCATTTTTGACTGCTGCCATTCTTGTTTTTCATTGTATGCATGAAACACCTGCATTTTCCTTTCTTTTCCACAATAATCAAGATCAATCCGACCGAACGTTCATTTCAATACACTCGATCTTCATATGTAATCGTTTTTAATCGATAAAACTCATCTTCCGCGATTTCTCATATCAAGTGCACGCATTTCCTCAATAAACTTGTTTATCATGCCAATGAAACGATGATAGCTTCATTGGTAGCTCGCAATCGAGAATTGTTTTTTGCACTCTTGAGGTTGAGAAAAAGCAACGTTAATTTTGAAAATAAAAGCATTCGCGTGTCGTTCAACCGAGCGCAGCCTTGACAATCAGCAGCAGTTCTTTGTGCCCGGCTGCATTTATAATGAGAGTATTTTTTTACGCGTTGATTTTAGATTTCACCGAAGCGAAATTGGGGTCGAGATTGAGAGTTTTCAACATGATCGATTAGTGTCGAGGCCTCTCTCAGCTGTTGCGACTTTTATTAATTTATATCAGTCAGTTCGCTGCGCTTGTCAATTGATTCAAATACACACTTTGAGATAAAATTTCTTTTCGTAATGGCATTGAAGCGAGACGTCTAAAAACAGAGAAGAAGCGGTGACGAATAGAAATTTTTGTGTGGATGATGAACGGTGACTAGTGTACTTTACGTTGTTCCGTTTGTTTCTTAAAGTAAAAATGAACGCACAATGGTGGAGGATTTGGCTACTAATCTATAGTTGAACACAAAAAAGGTATATCGAATGGTATATTTTACTTTTTTTCCACGCTGAGAATAACATTTGAATACATAAATAGCAACGTCAATTCTATTTTCGTCCGTGGCCACAAATATCCACCGCAGCGTTGTAACGACAATAATTCAGCGTATCCATCATAGCACCGCGTGAAATGATGTCGTTATACTTATCACAGCAAGCAACAAGTTGATACACGGAAAATAGATTTTTGTATTCGTGTACGTGTTCCATTTGCTTCGAAGCGCATTTACTTGATGTATAACTCCCCCCTCCCCCCCTTTGTTTATTCCCATACGTTTCTTTGATTTGTAGGTCTTATTTGGCTTCTACAAACAAAGAATAAAAATTGCATGTATCGTGTTTCCTACGTTATTTTTGTTGCGCGCAGATTCATAACCTGTCTTTCTGCTCCGGATGCTGAGGTGGATCCTTCTTTTCTCTCTCTCTCTCTCTCTCTCTCTCTCTCTCTCTCTTTCTCTCCTGCTGCTGAGAAATGAGCTTTTGATGAATGTGCTTGATTTTCTTTCTTTTTTTTTGCGAGATTTATTATCGTGTGCCCGCTTCTTTGTGTTCGGGGAGTTTGAAAAACTTGAACACACGGGGGGAAGAAAGAATTTCGCAGACAATTTTCGAAGAACAATAAAAGTCAGATGAACGCGAAAGTTAACCAGTTTCAGAAGTTAATGTTGTTGATTTTTGATCTACTTTCGATCGTGTTCCTTCCATAAATCGATTTATTTCATCAAACTTGACTTTCACCCCCCCCCCCCCCCCCCCCCATGAATTCTTACGTAGGTGTACCGATAATACAACGAGTAAAAGGCCCAACGAAAATCTAGAATTCCAAGACGTCGATGTGCAAGGTGCGTGCAGAGCACCGCGATGACGTGTTGGTTATACTGTTAGCTCACACAATTCCCGTAAAAAGAAGGGAGAGAGAAAGAGAGAGAGAGAGAGAGAGAGAGAGAGAGAGAGGGCATTCAAAAAAGGCCGTTTATTCGGGTCACAAGAGAGAGAGAGAGAGAGAGAGAGAGAGACTCGCCTCCTCGGCGCATTTCTCGAATTCCAAGCGAAGCGAGAGCAGTAGCGTGTACTTGCTTGCATGGCCGTGTCGAAACTCTGAGCTTTTTGATTGCCGACCGTAATGAAAGAGTGAACTTTCACTCGCTTTCGAAGCATCAACTTGAACTGCTGGTGCGCCGATGCTCTGCTTTGTATCCTCTCGTTCCTCTCTTTATTTGTTGTCATCCCCGCGCGTCAACGCACTTGTGCAATCCGAAATTGCCGAAAGTGTCACGCGCACGGGCCGAACAAAAAACCCAAGCCAACGGTGAAAGCTTCGGCGCCGCTGCCTTGACACGCAAACCTCCATTACCAGATAGCGAAGCCGTGACAGCTCGATTTTTCGGCAGGCGCCACGCTCCCTTCCGCGTGCGGTCGGGGAAAACGAAAGTTTTCCGGGCTCGCTGACAGTGGGTAATCGTGTCAGGGACGTTCGCGGAAGCGAAGAGACCCCCGCGGCATCGGCGCGCGTTACGGGAGTATAGTGGTCGCGCGTCCGCGACAACAGTCGATGCTCCAGGCGCCGCGGAAAAGCGAGCCGTCGGGGCCGGTCGCGATCGATCGCGCGCCCGACAACAATCGTCGTAGCTCCAGGCCGAGCGACGCACGAGTATTTCCAGCGAGCTCGTGACGCAATCGGTTTATTTTCGCTAACGAGCGCATAGTTGTGCAAGCGCGCCTCTCCTTTTTCCTCCCTCAATGTCGAGCCGCTTAAGGATGCTTCGCGCGCGCACGCATTTGTTATTGTCGAGCGAGCGCGAAATTCGCGAGGCACTCTCGATTGGCCGAACGCTAGGCCGCGTCCTTTCTCCCCAAACTGCGGGCAGACGTTACGTAGTCGCGCGCCGCGCTCCCGTTACCTCGAGGCGAGCGCTTAGAAATGCTGTTATCTCCGTCGCGGCAGAGAACGAAAGTTGCCCCTACTTTTTCGAGGCGGTGTAACGGTGTCAGGGACGTACACCCATTGCGGAGCTGCAGCAATCGTCAAAGTTTTTTGGAGCGACTGAGCTTGAACTTGATGGAAGCTCGAACGAACTTTCGTTTTCTTCGGCAGAAACGCAGCTATCCGAGGTGACTGCGCGCGATTTCGATAATGAAGGAGGCCATTTTCGTTTCTTCTCTGTCTTTTAAAGTGACTGTTAAGGTCCACAGGACCGAGAAAGTTGTTACGACACGATTGTTCATGGAGATGACGTTGCCTTAACGTCCGGCGATCTCAGTACGAGTGAAAATTTCTCTACCTGGCTGTTTCTTACTTGTTCGCGTTTCGAATGCAATCGTCGTCATCAGTGACACTGTTATCGCGAATACGTTTCAAGTCTGGCACAAGATCACCTGCGAAATTAAAGGTCATGACAATGCGCCTGTTTTTAAAATAACCTAATAATCTTATCTCTTTTTTTTTTTATTATTTTGCTCGTCCCCAAGGTTCTCTCTCTCTTATTTTTCGCGCTGAAATTCTAAATTTGAAATTGAAAAAAAAAATTTTATTCGAGATTCTCTCTCCCGTCGAAAAAAAAAAAAACCCAGTACCGCCGAAAAATCAGCCAATCTTTCTCCCTCTCCCACAGTGTTCACGCCCATGTAGCTTCAACGCCATTGGCCGAACAAACTCTGCACATTCCTTCGCGGCTTTTATTTATAGCGTCCTACCATTATTTTTTTCTTTCCTCTCCATTCTCGTTTCTCGCAGAGTTGATCCTTCACACTCTCGGGAGGCATAATAATAGAAAACACGACACGCCGCGGATTTGCAGGTCCGCTTGGCAGCGACGATATTGCTGCTTCTAAGCATCGGTAATAAAATACACGCGGTACGAGCGCGATGTAATGACGCCAGACGGCGAAATGGTCTCATAACGAAAAATAAAAAAAATGTTCTAGACTTTGTTGCTTTTACTAACTCTTTAGCGCGCGTGATAAGTAAAAATGATCGTAATTGCGCAATTCGCCATCAACAAAGACGCGAACGTCTTTTTTTATTTTGCGCACAGCCTTGTCGCGATGCCTTGAAGCCGCCTGAAAAGGAGAAAAGAGAGTTTACATACAACAGAGAGCAAAAAGCAGCGCGATAAAGCGCGTCGAATTGCCAAATTTTCGGCGATAATGAGACACGCTTGGTTTCGTAATACGTAATCGAAGCCGGCAGTTCGAAGAAAGTGTTTTCGTTTCCGTCACTTCTCAAGGTTAACGCGCGTAGCCGGTCGTTAGGAGACAATGGTGAAATGCATAATGGGCATTTAACGGCTTCTCGATAAAGGTGGCCTCGATGCGCACGGAGATCGTTCGCGCGACCTTCGCGTTAGAACATTTGATATGCATCGCCGGCATGTGCGAGATTGTATGCTCCCGGTGGAACTCGCACTTTTAAGAAGTCAAAAGTGCGCCGAAAGATAATCTCGTTAAAAGAGTTTTCGCGCTTGTCTGTTACAATCCGGTTCGCATTGAACGAACGAAGTGCAAACACCTTTTGTATCGAAGAAGTCAATTACCCGTGCATAATGAGCCGAGCGACGGCCGGGGCAGGAGAGGGGTATCCATACACTTGACTTTCTTTCAACCGATAAAAGGCCGCGCAATAATATCATTGTTAATACGCACCAGTATCCAAGCTACAGGAGAGATGCACTTGTTTTTCTTGGCTCGCGCGCTTTATCGCGCGAAAGTGTGACGCGCGAAGTTG